AATTAACAAGTGATACAAACCCTAATTTTGAATAACATGGTATTCTTCAGGCTGTTATCTTATAACTACCCATAGTCGAGGGGTTTACACGCTCGCTTTGGAAGCGAGAGGTCTGGAGTTCAAATCCCAGTTCAGGCAACTCATGTTTTTTGTTGTTTTTTTTTTGTTTGTTTTAGTTTTTTTTTAAATTGTTTAATCCAAATAAACATTGAATTGAATATCAGTGTTGCAATAAGTCTTATAGCCAATTTACTATTGTTATAACACTGGTATATAGCATTGGTGAAACAATACAAACAAATTGGTTTATAATCTCACAACCTTCACCTTTCTGCGTTCTGAGACCCAAACAAATTCAGCGCCTTCTGTGCTTTGATTAGTTTTGTTATTACCTACACACAGTATCCATAAGCTACATCAACAGTATGCTATAAGTACGTAATGTTTTTATTAGAATTACGAACACGAAAGCGACACGCCATTTTGAACAGGGTGTGTGGGATATATTGAAATATAACAAATAACAACCAGTTGCTACATGTTATTAGATATATATGTTTATGCATGTACTGCTTCATAACAATGAAACTCACATTTGACAAGATATTGTACAAATGAATCAGTTTGATTTCAAAAATTAAAAGTTAAACACATGATTATCTTCAAATATTTGAGCATTTACGTGATTTACCGACAATCAAAATTTTTTTGAGCCCGATCGTGTGATACTACACACAAGGAAACACTTTTTAAAAAGATATGATCTAAAGCAATGGTCCAATGTGTGTTTGTTTGTTTTGGTTTTGCGGCACACGATATTAACAAACTCTTCAAAGCAAGATCTGGGGTCAAAACCACAACTCATTTAGACTACGGAATCCTATCACTGTGGCAAGTTTTTACATGGTTTATGGGTTTGTTTTTATTATGACATAATTCATTATTTATTTGCATCTGTTTGGCTAAGTATCTTGACATGTACACGAAATCCAGTTATATATCAAGTTTTTTACAAATTCTTTTGGTCGGGATTCGTTCAGTCTTTCTATGGGATAAGTGATGCATAAATATTCTGAAACAAAACAAAATTTAAAATAAAGAACTTATTTTTTTACCTTTTTCCAGTTGATGAATCACCTCAAATAATCTTTTGTTTGAGAAGCTATATAATCACAACTCAGAATATCAAATTTGTCCAAGAGACCAGTTGGCAAATTTGATTTAATTGAAAATATTTATTCATCGTTTTTTTGTATTTAGAAAGTCACAACGCTGTCTCTGATACAATTCAATTAAGAAAACATTTTTACTTCGACAAAAAAGGCAAAAAATTAAATAAAAAAAATTAAAATATATAAAAATATGTCACCATCTGTGATACGAAATAAAAATTCTCTTGTTATATTTAATGTTTTTGTTGTTCTTGTTCTTTGTGTGTGTGTTTTTTTTTTCTTTTCGTTTTTTTTTCTGTTTTTTTTTCTTTTTGTCGTTTTATTTATTTTTTTTCTATTTAATTTTTTTAATTAATATGTTACACTGCAAGACAATGATTACGGATTATTTGCAAATCTACTCAGATTTTTTTCGATTGTATTGGTTTTGAGACAAAAATAATCAGAAATCGGAATAGTTAATTGAATGTTTTTTGAGAGGCCTACTTTGGAAGGAATAGCTGCCAGCTGTAACTATTTAATCTTATGTTGAATACTAGTTGATTTATCAATTTATTTATTATTCATCTATTTATATATTTGGAGAACGCAGCCCAACTTATCATTTATAATTAAGTCATATGTCCAGAAGTTTGCAAATTGCACGGTAATAATAACCAATGAAACTGCACTAAAACAGTGTAGCAATACCACGTGACATTGACGTCATTTTCGGCATCATTTCCAAGACAAATATTGCACGATTCGGAAAAGAAAATAGCCCTAAATATTTTATTTCTGTGCCAATTTCTAGTCTACGGGGAAAAATATAAGCTTTCCACAGAATATTGGATCTTTGTCAGTTTATAAGCCGTTTTATCAAACACTTTGCATAACCTTAGAAGTTGCTTGTATTAGAGCGGGCTTCAGTTGCAAGCTATTTCGTTTTCTGGCGTAACCTGGTCTACGCCATGATTAAAGTCAGCTTTACATCAACCGGGAGTACGGAAGGCAAAACTCTACCTAAATATGTTCATATTTTTATTATGAATGACATAAATCTTAGATTATTCTTCAGTTGTCAATTCTGGCACCAGTTCCAAGTCGAAAAAAAGGACTACAGTTTAAAGCAGATTTTAAAATATGTTGCAAATGCTAGGCAACATGCCTACCGTTCTCTTTCTACAATTTAGTTTTTCATTGTTGATCTTTCACAGAGCGATTGTGAAATACTAATTTGTTCCTAAATGTAATAACACTTACTTGTATCGCAATAGTGCACGTCAAATCACGTAGATTTAGTCCTGTCGAAAAAAAAATATTTTGGTTTCGTTTTGAAGATGTTTAAAGTATCGCTCATCTTATCTTATCCTATGTAGTAAAATGTGTTTTATTCTATTTCACAATGGCGAAATTGATAAGAAACATATGTGCCCTCATGGAGAGAAAGAGTTAAATTAAAGAAAACAACTTTTGTATGCTACGGAAAAGGTTACACTTTAACGCGAGTGTTGTAAAGCTTAAGGTAATTTTTTCAGTCTATTTTTTGTAACGGAGTAACTGACAAACACTGACACTCGTGAATGTGACGAATAGGTTCTTCTGTGCTCAAAAGAGGCTTTTACTAGGTAAATATTTTTTCTGGAATTGCCGTATAATAAATTTCTATAGAGTTTAATAAACGAAATCACAATTTAAGTACTATGCACATGTATAGGTATTGAAATCATGAATCTAATTGTCACGCGCATTAGCATGACGTTCACATTTTATGCTTATTAAACTATAAGCACTTTCATCATCATTCAGATTTTTTTTCTTTCTTTTCCTTTAATTGATATGTTACACTACAAGACAATGATTACGGATTATTTGCAAATCTACTCAGATTGTTTTTGGATTGTCAAAACTAATCAGAAGTCGGAATAGTTAATTGGATGTTTTTTGTGAGGCCTTCTTTGGAAAGAATAGTTGCCAGCTGTAACTATTTAATCTTATGTTGGATACTAGTTGATTTATCAATTCATTTATTATTCATTTATTTATATATTTGGAGAATGTAGCCCAACTTATCATTTATGGTTAAGTCATATGTCCAGATGTTTGCAAATTGCACGGTTAACGATTAAAAGTGTACAAACATGACATGTTCAAACCTTACATTCCTGGCATCTAGGCTGGATACTGATTATGAATAAAACCTGGACGTGGATTATACAGATTTTGACTAAGTAAATTAATTTTAACAATATTAAAGTGACATTATGCTCTTATTTTCATAGTCAAGTTGAGCTAAATTGACTTTATATTTCAAATCATTGACTGTTTAAATGGTGTTTGACCAACAGTTGATTTTGGAAAATGTTTATTATAAAATTTAAAATCTTCCTTAAATATTAAAAGACTGCCCCACTCTTTTTATAAATGGAACGTTACAGGTAAATTCTAAATGATATTTACAGAAACTTCGTTTGAATCCGAGGCTTATTTATTGTTTATGTGAAGTAAATTATTAAATCAAAAGGAATTATGTCAAAATGAAAATTTAATTTGACTCTCTCCTGTTCACTCACTATATACCTTTAGATGGGCATAATGTCACTTTAAATATTGTTTTTAATTTGTGTTAGTAACTTATGTCTCAGAAATGAATAATTCCATCCTTGTTCAGAAGGAGCAAATTTTAGATTTTTATTGTTTAAATAATGGTTTAAGAGCATGTTTGTTGCATATTACCTGAAGTAAGTAGCGTCGAATGTGAAATTATTTGTCATAAAAGTAGCAAAATGTAAAAGTAGTATTTTGTCTTCCATGCACTAACACTATATCTGTAATAACAGAAGTAGAGTGTGATTCAGGTTATAGGCTAATGATTAACTTTTTGGAAACTATAAACAGAACAAAAATATTAAAGCGTTTAAGAAAACAAATTACTCTGAAGAGAAGTGGGCAAGTTTGTTTTATGATGTTTTCTTTTCATTTTATAACATTTTATTGGTATTTACATACACGCAATTTCAAAAAGTAGTATAATGCGGTTGCTTTCCTATGTATCTTGGTACATGATTTACAACAATGTGGATTTTGGTAGTGATTTTGGAAGTGAGACCCTAATATGAGTCTGATGCGATCCTCTTCGTCAGAGTTTATTTATACGAGCTTCTGTCAACACGAGCTTCTATCAACACGAGCTTCTGTCTTGTTCATGTTGACATCGAGAAAATGGACTAGCACTACTCGATATGGTTTCCGGTAAAGCAACTTATAAGTACATGTACTATATGTTATGTGTGCATTCAAACAAACAAAAAGTTTCTAAGAAATGCTGCTTACCAAAATGAACAAAAATTCCGCCGGAAAGCAAATCTAGATACATGTTTTTTCTACTTGCTCACAACTAAATAAAATTTCAACAAGGGAAGTAACTTGGGTGATGCTAAAAGAGATATTCTTTCTAATTTGAAACACTCTTTTGATGTTCACATAAATCATTATCGGAAGGAAAGTTTAGATAAGTTAATTACCAATTAAATATTAATATTATACATGTAATTAATGTAACTCTTGGTCTGAATGCACAAAAAGCTACTTTAGTTCTCTCCCCTGATACTATGAAAGCTTTAATTTCAGACAAAATACCATCATGTGTATTTTATTTCTTATATAAAAGTCGCAAAATAATCAGACGAGTACAAACTGCTCAAAATTGTTGTTTCTTTTCTGTTGGTCATTTATGTCACAAAAAAATGCACGACAGGACATGAAAAGGTCGTCATCTATCTACTTAACTCTTCAACGCACGTGAAACTACATGTAACCAAAACAAAAACAGAACATATACAGCAATGCTATATTCAATTCCGGATTTATTTGATTTTTGATAAAATGTCATAAAATTCAACAAGTAGTAACAATAACACATTCAAATATGTACATATAAAACAATATTATAAATATAAATTTGCATTGTTTATGAAGCATCAAGTAAGATTTGTAGGCATATATATATTCTCTAAAAGGAAAAAAAAATGTTATTTTGCAGACGACATTTCAATAACTGGATATATCGTTTGCTGATTTTCGTAGTAAAATGCATTTCCCTATTGAGAATAATAGGTTAACAATGTTCTAAAACGTAATTAAATATATATGGTTGATAAAAGAGAGGCAATACATTCTAAAATATTCTGATGACCAAGTCGTTTGCAAAAATGTCTTCTAAGGTAATCCCTTTTGAGATAATACGTTTACAATGTTCTAAAACATAGTTAATAAAACAGAGGCATTACATTCTAAAATATTCTGATGAACAAGTCGTCTGCAAAAAATGACTTCTGCTTAATTAAATAGCTATAGCAGTAGACAAATAGCTAAATAGTAATGCACAGGGACGCTTGTATTTGAATAACTAATATTGACAAAGACAAAAAAGACAAAGTATACGAAGCAATTAAGCATTAAGCAGTAGAAACAGTTTAGCAAATGTGGTCATAACTCACATGTCTAAAATGACAACAATGTCTAGAATAAATACAAAAGAATAATAAAACCAGATAAATGGAAACGAATAAAAATGTTAAAACCCAAACACAGAATAATGTTAAAACAACTACGTAACTTTCTTTTAAAACATTTAAATATATCTGGTTTATATAGAAAAATGAGATTCTTGGTGTGAATAGAATCATAGAGCATAAGACAACCATGGCATTTGTTGTAATAATGTGTAAAAACCGCGAAGACTTTCCATATTAGATTTTTTTTTTAAAAACTGAACGTACATTTGGTCAAAAAAACTTTAAAAATGTTAACACTTGAACACTTCTACACAAATTGTTTTGTCTATGTATTACTGAAAGTCGCAAATCTAGAAGAATTTTTCGTAGTCATTAATTCTTTAGAACGATGATAACATGAATGGGTAAATGAACGATTTAATGCATCATTTATCAAGTAAATGCTTACTATAAGGATATACTATTTAGTTTTTAGTATTATACATGGCCTAGGATGTAGAAAAAGGCAAAGCTATTTGTATCAACTTTCCTAAAACAAATAGTTTAACATTCAATTAAACAGTAGAGTAAAATATATCTTACTCAAAGCGCGATAAAATGACATGAAAGTCTGTTACATGCTGAACATGAATTCTAAAAGGCAGCACATTGTACAAATAAAAAACGATAAAAAAAATATTACACTTCGTATTTATAACAACTATCACTATGTAACAACAGTTATCACCCTGCATGCACGTGAGCCTCGCTTCCATCTACATATTCTAGCGTCAGAATAGTACACAGCACTTTTCTAATTGCAGCGCTGATTTCCATAAGATTCGTTTCTTTCACATGTTTCGTTAGTTCAGAATAAATTTTGTTCACGCGCTGTTTGCAGGAATGTAAACAGATGCCAAAGTGGCTTGACTACCCTGTGACGGCATATTTCCGGGTGCTAATTGCGCACGACTTTCTGAGGGAGGTAACTCTCCACCTCTTTTGCTTTTGCACCACTTGTTTAACTTTTGAAAAAGAACGACAAGATTTCCAGTGTCACCTTGAGGGCCAAACATACCCATTAATGTCACGAACATACCCATTGAAAAGAACAAAGAAAAGCCTATCGTTGAAAACATAAAAATTCCAAACTGCAAAAAGAACGATAACTGTGCAATAAACATAAAGCAAGACGCACCCAGCGTCGTGATTGCGCCAAAGAATACAGAAACTGCCATTTCGTCGAGCATATCACGTACACGTGAAAATCGGTCTTTATGAAGAGACAGTGTATATCCTTCGGCAAGATGGACGACGTAATCAACTGTGAGGCCTACCACCATGCACATATTTAGAGACTCCAATACCTGAAAAAATGGAAATTATGCCCATTTTTCTTTTGTGTTTATTATTGCCAAGGACCAAAATCACAACACCGCGAATAATGTCTGTTAAAATATCAACGTATTCAACGGTACAGTATATCCAACTTTGGCAATATGATTTTTATGTATACATAATAAATAGCGAAATTGTGAAATAAGCCGAAAGTCGCTCTTATGTTATAAGTCTAGTGATTATCAAATTATGGTTTTGAAACGATTACGTGCACAAGCCGTTTTATTGAACAATAAGTAGCAGAAAAACATTAATATAAGCAGAGTTGATAATTTGAAATTTTATATTTGAGCCGCGTCACGACAAAACCAACATAGTGCATTTGCGACCAGCATGGATCAAGACCAGCCTGCGCATCTGCGCAGTCTGATCAGGATCCATGATGTTCGCTATCAGTTTCTATACTTGTAATAGTGTTGGTAAGCGAACAGCATGGATCCTGACCAGACTGCGCTGATGCGCAGGCTGGTCTGGATCCATGCTGGTCGCAAATGCACTATGTTGGTTTTGTCGTGACGCGGCTCATTTATCTTTATTATTCAAAACCTATTATGATAGCATCATTAAATATCTACAATATGATTATCGTAACCAAAGAAACTTACACCTAGTTTCCATCCTCCAAGGGGAATAACTCCGATTACACAAACTGTACTGCAACACATGGTAAACGTTGCTAGGCAGCCAGTGATTATGTTCCTTGTTGCTATGATAAGTATAGGTAACGCTAGCGATACACCAATAATGATACCATAAACGGCGTTCTTTGCAAGCATCTGAAATATTTCAATTTGCAATAATGAGCCAGATAAGATTTTATAATTAATGATAGTTTCCCGTTACTTTCCAGAGGATTTAGCAGCGTAAATAGATAATTGTCTTTTACAAAAGGAATATCCTATTCGGACCTGAATGTCATTAATTTGATGAGGCCCAGATTTCTTAAATACAAATTACTAATTATCTTTATTGGCATTAGAACTGTTTAAGTTGGTTTAAAGATTATATGTAAAGGAAATGAACAACAAGAAGGTAATAAATTCCTGCATTTATCAAATCAACATAAGCTACAAGTTATATAAAATATTACAAACAAGAGCTGTCCATAAGACAGCGCTTGACTATTCTCAGTACTTGACAGTTAGAAATGGGCGATAACTCTGTAAAAATATAACCCAGATTTATGGGACCTGTGTCCATCATGTGAGATTTATCACAGAGAACAAATATGGTATGTTTCAACTCATTCCATTCTGCTGTTTTGGAAATACCAACTTGAACTAATAAATTTAACCAAAGTGTACGCCGACGTCGGGGTTAGTACAATAGTTTTCACTTTTATTTGAAAAGCCAAGTTTAAAAGCAACCAAAACAAGAACAAAAATGTTATAATCAACAGCCATAATAATGATAACATGTCCATTAAATAAACTTTGTTATAAATTTAATACAAATGCGCATGCACTGTTACCTCTGATACTATGAGCCAGTGCCAAATCATCCTGGTTGTCTGGAAACCATTCTTCATGCCGTTTGGCATTTTGGTCATCTGCAAGGTTAATAAAGTAAAAACCACATTAAGACATAAATGTAACTTACTCTGTAATCCTCCCTCCATCATACAAGAACTCGAAATGTATCATACAGCTCACCTTGTTATTTTCCAAATCTTAACAATATTTCACATCGTTTTTGACAAAGTCCCTTTATCAGCTAACCGTGTTAGTTACAAAATCTTTCCTGTATCACACCTCGTTATTATATTTATCAGCTTACCTAGTTATGAACGAAATATTTCCATTAGCTCACCGTGTTCTTAACGATATACCTCCTTATTAACGATAACTTTCGTTCAGCTTAGTTATTAACGAAATATTTCCATGAGCTCAACTTGTATTAACAATCTCTTTCAAAGAGCCTACCTCATTATTAACGAAAACTTTCTTTTAGCTAACCTAATAAATAACGAAATCTTTCCAGTAGACCACTCCGTTATTTACAATAACTATCAAATATTCTTATTAGCGAAAGCTTTTAGCTAACCTAATTAATAACGAAATCTTTCCATTAGACCATCTTGTTATTAACGATATATTTCAAATAACTCACCTCGTTATTAACGAAATCTTCCCATCGGTTCATTATTGGTAGTCCCTCTGCATAACCAAGTGGCAGTTTTATCGTCGTGTTAATTTGTATTGCAATGTATCTTAGATCGTTTCCATACTTTCGCGCTAAAATAACGAAGACATCTCAATTATATATAATTCACCAGTACACACTAAATATAAATAAAATGTTTTTTTATTGTTGCTTTAAAAGGCTTTGTAAAATATTCAATTTGCACCGGTCTAAACTAAATAACAACACAGAATACGATATTTTCTGAAGTTTAATGAAGTTTAAAGGGGGCAACCTTCTCGAAATTGAGAGTATCGCACTTAATGCTAGGAACACCGTCTGAAAGTACTGCAGGAGACCTTATTACCAGAGTAATACTGTATTTAAAAGCTAAATATATTGATTTATTGACTTTTTTAAAAAACAAAATCCTAAAGTTTAGCAGTCAGTGATAAGGAATTTGTCAGACGAGTGCCAACCAGTCTCTATATTGGTAGCATAGATTGTTCCATATAAGAACGTTAAAGCAGCATAATCATATAACATAACAAAGCATATTCAAAGAAGTGTATGTTATTTATTATGTAGATATTATATATGGTATGAAGCATTGAATTCAATGTACTCGGATGTGAAACTTTATTATCGCATGGTTTGGAACTTTTTCTTTGTTCTTACTTAAACCCATTATATTCGGTACTATTTCAATGAGGATTTGAAAACTTTATAGACATTTAACAATACAGTTTGTTTCGTTGATTCATATAGTAAAGAACTTAACTTATATATAACAGTTTATTTTTTTTATTTTTTTTAAGGGGGGGGGGGGGGGCACCTTGTATATAATTCAGTGTAGTTTTACAGGGGTATCACACATTCCCGGTAGCAAAAAAACAACAACAAAAACAACATAGATTTATCAGCTGATATTGTTTTTGTTTTTTTTGTTTTTTTTTGTAGGGTTCACATTTAAAACGAAAGCGAAATGGCACAAGACAGTGAAAACACTAGACATAGTATTTTCTAAATTTCTTTTGCTGATTTCTGTTATGAAAAATAAGAAATTGCGATAAAACAGTTATAATATTAGAAACTCGTTAGCTACGGGGATATACACTGGCTTGGGCGACATGTCGCAATGTGTCTGCAAAATAAAATCGTCTCGGCCTGAATATTACATTAAATTATGTTTAAAACAGCTATCAGGGCCATTATTCAAGTAAGAACATCATCAGCGTCGGAATAATTGTCATTTGGTGAAGTTAATACGGTAATCAATTATTGATTTCAGGCGATTATTTGGTTCATTTAACTTGATTTAAGCCATGTCTCTTGCATGGCTTAATTATCAAAGGATTTTTATATGAAAGAAATTGATGATTACGCAGAAACTATCTCATTTACTTTTCTTATATGAAAACAATCAAGCATGTTTTGAAACGTACACATGATGACAAATTATGAAAGCATTGAATGATGTATATACATTTGAGCCGCGTCATGACAAAACCAACATAATGGGTTTGCGACCAGCTTGGATCCAGACCAGCCTGCGCATCCGCGCAGTCTGATCAGGATCCATGCTGTTCGCTATCAGTTTCTTTACTTGTTATAGTGTCTGTAAGCGAACAGCATGGATCCTGATCAGACTGCGCGGATTCGTAGGCTGGTCTGGATCCATGCTGGTCGCAAACGTATTACGTTGGTTTTGTCGTGACGCGGCTCATTTGGTTATGTAACAAGATATACGCAAGAACACATCACTTTTACAGCAAGAATTAAACTATCCCACCCGCATAAAAAGATATGCTCATGTTTGTTTACAATTAAAAAGAAGAAAAGAAGAAACGCCCGTGTGGGCACATAAACTTTTTATTTAAACTTTCATAATTCAAGGTTATCTTACAAAATCAGATTGAACTGTTGACCCTTTGCAAAATGAGATTGCTATTTTTATATTTTGATTAATTTTGCATTAATAGCTACCATTGATCACATACATGTGGCGCTAGCGCGTCTATACAAAAATCAACAACAAAAAACTTCAAAAACAATTTTTAACACATGAAGGAGTGGGCATTAGATATTTTAGTCATCAAACTGATGAGCGTTGGTATCACAGCGTGTTTTTTCCTGCTTGTTATATTAATATATTTACTATTTAGATTAAAAAAAGCCCCTCTTGTTCACATATATACATTCGATGATAAAAAGTATAAAAACAATTGATGTAGCTTCAAAACAGGCTTGATAGATATATATGAGCCGAGTCACGACAAAACCATCATAGTGCGTTTGCGACCAGCATGGATCCAGACCAGCCTGCGAATCCGCGCAGTCTGATCAGGATTCATGCTGTTCGCATACCAACTCTATTACAAGTAGAGAAAGTGATAGAGAACAGCATGGATCCTGATCAGACTGCGCGGGTGCGCAGGCTGGTTGGGATCCATGCTGGTCGCAAACGCATTACGTTGGTTTAGTCACGGCGCGGCTCAATTATATGTCTTAACAGTTCGTATAACCATTCAGCTTGATTATCATAATATATTAATTTATGAAAATGACATCAGCAAAATATTAATGAACATTCAAAATACGTTTCGATCTACTTGCATGTAATATAATATTATGTGATTATTAGTTAACTATAGAGTAAACGATGAGATTATCATATAATGGATATACAGTATATACTTGCACAAATTTACAGGACTGCTCGAGTCCAAATTCTGATAATAAAGAACACAAAGCTCCAATAAAATTAAAGCATCTGAGGTTTACTAAATTAAGATGTTCATTATATAAACATGGTCATTATAAGAAAATTTTGTCAATACATACATGAGTCTGTTTTTAGAGCGGTTGAGAAATCTCCCGTCGATTCACCAATCAGTTCATCAAAAAGGTAGAAATCTTCAGTGTAATTATAACTGTATTTGTTTGATAACCAATACGAAATTGGAACCTGTAAGAAAAAAGAAAAGAAATTAAACAAGAGTGGACAGTAGGACGGTGCGTTCGACTAATCTCAGTGCTTGATAGTAAAACAGAGTCTGGGTAATGTAGATATTAAAAACAAAAATAGAATTTTGTTAAGCTCTCTTCATTCAAAATCCATGCCACAGTGATGGGTCTTGGAAAGTATCCTTGAATTGTAATTTTGAGAAAAAAGAAGATGAATCAGTTCCAGTGAATACGATATTTACTCTTTAGCTTGATGTTGCAAACAAAATTTAAACAAAATAGTTTCTACGTTCAAAAAGACTCATAATTCAGTCAAAGTCCATGGCAGAGTTATTGGCCATGGATAGTGACCTGTAATTATGATCCCGCAGACAATGTATATTATATTAAATGAATATCTTCAGTTGTTTGGAAGATTGATGTTGCAGACAATACTAGCTTGAACCAAGAATTTTCAAAGTTCAAAAGGAACTTTTTTCCAAATCAGCCAATACAACATTTAATATTTACCGATACTGGTATATGGTAAATATAAATAGCCTGGGTTACCGAGGATGTGTGAAAATAGAACAGAATAAATTTGTATTTTTTTCAGTTTTAAAAGCGTATCATTGCCTCCCATTATGCTTCACAATAACTTTCAAGCAGTTCAAACCATTTACATAACGACACGAGTTCCCACAACCTTTTTACACTACCGTGCATTATCATGGAAACAATCTAAGTGGGTATAAGGGTATTTTCAACATAGACACCACCTGTCATTTACTACACACTAAGAAAAAGAACAAGCTGTACCGAAATAAAACTGTTTTGTCACAAGATGTCGGTATTTCATTAAAAGGTTTAAAAATCTACAGATTTAATTGTGAAGAAAATCATATATACTAGTAATTATAATATTATGTACAGTGATTTTTGCTAACTATCTGTTAATTTTAGCTTAATTATTATCATTATTAAAATACAAAAAAAAAGAACATTTGGATTGTTATGTCTAGGATTTCGAAAAATTCTGCAATAGATATGCTGTTTATCTAGATTGCATCAACGATTTTCAACAAACAGCCCGTTGCGATGTCCTTGATATTAAACTTGGGTTTATGTGCACTTTTAACTGCATGGGATTTACATATTGCATATCGTCTCTTACACTTAACAAATCTATTAGTAAACAAGCTAACAAAATGTAATGCAAAAAACAACCATTTCTCCATTTATGCACTGATATCACTGGTATCTAAGTTTGATACAAGTTACATTTATGCACTGATTTTAAATGATATCAAAGTTGTTGTTTTGATATCTAATTGTTCCTGAATTAAATCACATTACTATACAGCAAGATTGATGCCGTTCATATATTTATAAAAATAACAAAATTCTCTTAGAATAGGGGGAGGCGCCAAGGGCTGCAATTGCTGTGCATAACAAACATATTTACAGGTCCAAAACGTGTTTGTTTGTTTTTCTTCTCCATTAAAAATGTTTAATTGTCCGACATTTTTAATATGTACATTAAAACTTGGACAAACATATTTTGTCCGATATTTTAATGTCTATATAAAATATGGATAACTATATTTTTGTCCGATATTCTGTAAAGTAAACTTGTCCTACATTTAAAGTATGTTAAAAGTTCTTTTGCCCTTAAAATGCTGAACAATGTAAAACGTAGTTTTTAAGTTTATACTGTCTTACTTATGGGAACTGTTTTACTTATGGGTCACATGGTAGGTCGGGTATCATATCCCGTTATTATCGGAGCGTAACGCTTCAAGTCAGCTTTTAACAGTTAAAAAGAGCTTTGTAATAGAAGTAGGGATATTATGAATGAATTTGGAAATATCATTTGATTGAAATTATGATAACTTAATATTAAGTCGGAAGCTTTGAAATAATTAAAACCATTTGAAAACATATTGAATAAGAACCTATTTGATACAACTTTGGTTTTTGTCAAATGAAATTGAGCCGCATCACGACAAAATCAACATAATGGGTTTGCGACCAGCATGGATCCAGACCAGTCTGATCAGGATCAATGCTGTTCGCTATCAGTTTCTCTACTTGTTATACGGTTTGTAAGCGAACAGCATGGATCCTGATCAGACTGCGCGGATGCGCAGGCTGGTCTGGATCCATGCTGGTCGCAAACCCATTGTATTGGTTTTGTCGTGACACGACTCAATTAGTGTTAAAATGGGCCCAAAACAGCAAATTGAAAATGTTGAAGGCGTCTGTTGATAAACGTAGGTATCGTCTCGTCAACGCCCCCTGTCACAGGTTGAGTAAAGTTCAATATTTAAATTGAGGCAATTTACAATATTTTTGCATCCCCGGATAAATATGTGTTCATGTTTCGGATATGACCTTGCACTTTTGTAAACGGTTTGAAATGTTTGAAGGTTATTGGAAGCATGGCTGAAGGGAATAATCGGCTTTAAAACTGAAAAATACAAATTTATTCTATTCTATTGTCATTTATCCGACATTATTATCATGTCATTTACCGAATTTGATTCATGACAATCATAAAGAATATCATAAAGAATGTTTTTTAGTCCAAAACGAAAAAAATGGGATTGATGAAGACGGAATAAAACGTCATATGGAATTTATACCACGTTTTACATCTTTACCCCATAGGGAAAAGTCTTCTGACACTGTTAGAACATAATTTTTAATGTTTGGAATTAATTTGCTATTTATGAACATATTAATTGTGAATGTACATTGTGTATATATTACCTCTTTCTTAAAAGGTGCAAGTCATTGAAGAGGAAGTGGGTGGATGTATAAATGATTTACCTCGAGGTGATGATCGTAGTCCGATGTAAAACCGGAAGTGTCGTAATAAGTAGTTCTCGCATTCATGAAGGCCAGTGTCTTCGTATAGTCGTATGTGAGGTCCCAGTCTGTCCCAGTACTCGCTGTCTCCTCCTGAAATCAATCAACGCTTACATTGAATTAATTCAAATGGATCTTCAAATATAAATGAACCGAGTCACGACAAATCCAACATAATGGGTTTGCGACCAGCATGGATCCAGACCAGCTTGCGCATCCGCGCAGTCTGGTCAGGATCCATGCTGTTCGCTTACAAACCCTTAACAAGTAGAGAAACTGATAGCAAACAGCATGGATCCTAATCAGACAGTCTGGTCTGGATCCATGCTGGTTGCAAGCCCATTATGTTGGTTTTGTCATGACGCGGCTCAAATCATGTTCTGTCACCCCATTAGAATTTAATTCTTCTTAATTCTTATTTTAGAAATCGCGTCTTCTCGAATTATCCTTTCATGCCAATATTTGTTGCGCTATTGGAGGGCGAAAGTGGGGGGGGGGGAGAAAAAATACTTACCATGTTTGACTTTGGTATTACGCAAAGTTTTAATTTGCATAGGTTTAGCAGAACTAATTTGATTAATACAAAAATTAAGAACACCAAATGTTTAAAGTAGCACTAAGTACTGGTGCAAAAAGGGTACGTATAATCTCGTAACATCCCTATACTCATAAACTATACAGCAAACCTTAAATAAAAGAAGGGAAGCACATTAACCTACAAACAGCAGCCATGAATTATTTAATAAGAAATATGATCCTGTATAATATTAACCGCCATAATATTATGTAGGGCATGTAGGAAAGGGATAAAAGCTTTCTACCTAATAGTACACAGTTTGCTATATCATCAGACGAACCATCAATATTAAAAAGTACAATGTTAAAAATATATCTGAATAAAATTGACAAGATCTATTCTAAAATACAAAGTGCTCAAGTTCTAAATCTGCCAGTAAACACGCATTCTCAATATCATTTACAGAATAGATAAAAACGCTTTCCACGCAGCATATTCGTCTTATTATGTGCTATATGTTTTATCTAAATCATCTGATCCATTAAATATGTTCCGTTTTAATTAAATCAGAACAAAAAAGTGGTCAACTGTCATGATTTGAAAAAATATTTATCGCACAATAGTAAAAAATGAAACGTACGTGACTGTCTCTATAAGAAAAATGAACTTTAAATCTTTTAATGTTTCAATTGGTCTTTTATAAAACAATTGTTTGGTGTTTTTTGTATCTCACGATGTCTTAGCGTGAATTTAACAGTGGAACATACTGAAAACTGTTATAAAAATGTAAACAAAATTGTTGTTTCTTCCTTTCCACTGATACATGCCTTTTGGAGTGTGCGTTTTTAAACAGTGAAGAAAATATTTTTTAAAAAATAAGATCTTTCAAAGTTTGAAGTTTTCTGGCAGATAATTGGCCATATTGGCCAAAATAAAGTATTATAAAAGTAGTATATAAAGATGCCGTAATTGATGGATGATTTTCTGAGAAAATTAAAACGTAATTTTTGCAGCGAAACGTACGTTACTGATGCTACAAGAACTGATGAAAATGTAAAGAGGCAGACTTGTGTCAAGCAGTTAAAGCTTCCCTCAATAAGAAGTTATGTGTTGAGAAATTGTTATAATTGCTCAAGACTGTGTCCAGATCTGCATTGAAAAGTGGTCAGAAATGTACGTTACCGAAACGAACGTTACCGCAATTTAAAGAATATTCACTACACTTAAAATATGATACCTTAGGTAAGAAAATTTATATGGGGAGAAGAGTTTTGTAACATCAAAGCCTAAATAAATATTGCATTGTGTCACTGTGGATATAATTTAAGGCAAATTCATGTTTGATATACGATATCACAATATATATTAGAAAACATTTTATGTATATAAACATATATCTACTGAAAACATTCTTACGGATTTTGAGATGTGATAGCATGTTTTTTCGCAATGTAAACAAAAGGTAGTAGTGGAAAGTATATTTCTGCTTAAAAGTACCATGAAATGTACGTTACTGTTGGTAACGTACATTTCAAAACTAGTATTAGTAATTTCAATGAAGAGTATCTCCTGAATTCTTAAAAGTTACATCATGAATATGTTTTACATGTAATTACAAGTAAGAGTAGGATGATTAGAAACGAAAACAAATTAAATATAACTGTATTTGCACCAGTTGCATATGAATTTTATTCAGGTATTTTTTTCTATCTACAAAAGTTAGGACTAGTACAATATGTGGTTGTTTAAGTTGAACAGTTGTGATGATATTGAACATTTTTAATCTTTTCTCTAGCATCTGCACACTCAAATGTGCATTGTGTATGAACTATAAAGGTCTACAAAACAATGATTTCTCAGTTACATTAACATCAACAACAAGTAACGTACACTTCAATTGTAGTAACGTACATTTCAGAGACCGAAATGAAGGGCTGAGATTCAAAAAGGCTACAGGTAGAGAACAAGAGCTGAAAGATACCGAAAGTTAACATTGGAAAGAGCGTTATTGTAGAATTACGTTTTGCAGAATCCGAAATATTTGACTAACAAAGCGAGAAATGAAAGAAACAATGTTTTATAAAATAAAAGCAAACAATGTTTCATATAAGCAATGTTTCGTATAAAGTAAATGATTATTTTCCAAAATTTACCTTATTTTGTACAGAACACTGGAATATATTGTAAAACAACAAAATAATCAAGTTAATGTGTCACACTTTTAAAGCATTTATTTTTACATGCATTTCACAAATGTGATTTTGGTAATCATAATGTCTTAAAACATGCGGATTTCTAATGAAAGATATTAACAGGACTTTCGACGAATCATCTTCAAATGTATGTTACTTGCAAAGTTGCACATAAAATTGAAGTTTGCGATAGTAAAACATGTTTTTTTTTTGTTTTGTTTTTTTTTTTCATGAAAATGCAACAAATTTTATCAATTACACCATAATGGGGCTCTAAACATTTTTGGACATTGCTGTAAAATTATCCTCATAACAATGAATAACGTAGCATACAAGGATGATCACAATTTTTTTTAATGATTTTATAAAGTAAAAATGTTTTGTTTTTTTTAAATTTAAAAAAAGGAAATATTTTTATTTTTATATTTTTATGTACAACTCCCGTGCCAGAAAACTGAAATGTACGTTACCAATGAAAATGTACGTTACCAATGAGAGTTTACAATAGTATTTAATAAAGTCTTTAAGAAAGTCTTCAAAAATGCTAAAATTGATATTTTAAAGCATTTTATCACACACGTATGTTGTTATAAATGGTTAAATTTGTTTACATGTACTTTTTACCTTATATGAAGAGAATCATCAATTAAAATACATCTTATTTCTGTATGCATATACAATATCTAATTCTGACCAAGCGTTGATGATTTTTGTAGTTAATTGTTCAAATGTGTAGAAAGGAATAAATACCAAACAGAAATATTTAAGTTTTCCTATTCCTGTCAGATTTTCTGAATGAATTCAGAAGTTGATATTTTTTTGTATTAAACTGAAATGTACGTTACAAAATTATTACATTACTTTTAAGGCATTTGGGGTGAAAAAACAACTGATACATGCATGAATAACTTTACAACAAGGAGTTTATATGTATCATGAATAATCAATAGCATTCTAATGTCGAACTGCTTTTCATTGATAAATCTGTTAAGAACTTCGAAGTATGCATTGAGATAGTAATATGTGTATCACTCATCTGTAAAATTTGTTATTGTTTTAACATTCCAAAAACCTGAATAAATTGGTATAATTTAACAAAAAATGTATTTATTTCCATCCTACATCTTTTGAGAATGGAATTGTGAAAACAAAATTACTGACTAGTTCAACAGTAACATGATTATGAGCTGCTAATTTAAGGGACACTCAAAGTAACGTACATTTCTGTGCCTGTTTTTATATGAATGACCTGCTCAATTTGATATGGAACTGAGAGAACATGGTTCGTATCTTGTTTGCAAGAATTCAAATTTATGTCCGGGAGATATTCTTTTTCCATATTCAAACATTATTTTTATGATCTCTGAACATCATTTTTTTCACTTTCCGTGATTTAATATTTGTAAATGGTATTGAGAATGTGTGTAAACAGTAATGTTGTAACAATAAACATTTTCTCAATCTGACGAAGGTTCAGTCTTTCACGTAGATCTGATGATCACCGTATTTTGTTTCGTCAACTGTATACGCATTTCCCGAAAAAAGCTTTTTTAGCCATGTAATGAATCCGGTTTTTACAGGAAGTATCCGTTATCCAAATTGTAGATTTTTGTTAACAAATTGATTTTTAACAAAATTATTTTGAAATAATAGAGTCATTTTTTAATGGACATGATTGTTGTGCCAGTTTACTTGACGGCTATATGGTAATGACATGATTGTTCTCGAAATCGTGAAAATTACCAACTCCCAGGGACCAGGCTTCAAATTGAAAACGCATCGCTGATAATTGGCTGTGTGAAAGGCCACCAGAAAAGACTTCGGTTAGATCTAAAAGCGGAACGTTATTTAAAGCTGATTTTAATTCAGATTGCATTTTTCTTGACATCAAAGGTCAAAGTTATTTAAAGTTCAAGGTTAAGTTCTGAATGTAGGCTATGTCATACTATGAAGATAACAGTTTAAAGTAGAATATAACATTAAATCGACTATGAGTCTATGAGCAGACATTACACCAGGATAACAATAACACCCGGCAAAAGTTACCTCGGTTCCAAACAGACTTTAACTTCGATCACTTGAAAACTTTAAGACCCGCGCTCCGGGGACAGTCAGGTGAGAAAATCCATGTTGGACTTACACCCATTATTTTAGGACCTAAATAAAACCACATCATTGACCAAGCAGTGTTGGAAAACGGAAAACAGAGGACGAAACGGCCTTTAACGCTATATCCCTCCACTGCCACGGAAATCGTGGCCAGGATTTCTCTTGACTGGTGCAAATATGGCTAGCCTATGATTTAAAGAAAACTGTTAAAACGTAAATAAAATCACAAACATGACCCTATAATTCTTCTTACATAAAAAAATTAACACAAAATAACTTCAGGCGGTCAATGTTCATTTAAATAGATTGGCAAGGATTAACAGTATTTAAGATTAATATTCAAGGACTGATACATTCTGTGTAGAGTTTAATCAGGTTAGTGAGCATACAGATGACCACATATAGGGTAAGACTGTGTCCGGAGATTCCGTCCGCTTTAAAGTGCAATTTCAACCCCATCAGCAACAGCACATCAAGCACATATCTTTTTATTTCTATTTCATAGAAATATTGATTTTTTTCATTTATTTTATTTTCATTTGTATTTTTATGTTATTTCATTTTTTTTAAGTGGGGACTCTTGGGGAGGTTAAAAGTCCTCTTTTGGTATAAAATGAATAAGTTGGTATTGTAGGGACTGGTGATTTCTAAAAAAAAAATCTTACAAAATAAAAAAAATAACTGAAAAGACTGGACAGAGTTCTATGCATGTGGTTTGGCGTAACCATGGTAACACAGATTTCACTTTCTCTGTAATATTCATATAATTATAAACAAAAACATAAAAAGAGAAAAACAGCACCTTTAAGAATGTATCCAGGTTCTGAATGTAACAGTTGATCTGATAGTCTCCTGTAATAGTGTCTGACCGAACACGATACTGCCTGGCTTGGTCAGGGGTCCAGTTGAACATAGTGTTGCACATATTCTGTAACAAGAAAATTGTGTTAATTAATATACTAAGTCTGTCTTTACTTTGATCTAAAATATATTTATTTTTGTATGTATACTTTATGATCTCAACGTGTCTGTTACAGTGAGTTCGTGCAATTAATGTATCTATAATCCGAGGCCGAGGAGGGTTGGTTGTAGTCATATACCAGTTATGTTCAACCAAGGGTCTATTACACAACTCGGTCTATATAACTCCCAGGGGGAGGGTGTCGGATTTTTCATTTATTGTAAGACATTTATGTATTTCATAACCGCATTACGCGCATATGTCACCACCTAATATCAGGCAAGTGTCTCTGCTTGGTTGTAAACCCTTTTCAAAATTAAGGTATATACTTTGAAGTTCTGTCTTAACAAGTAAACATATTACATACACATAATGTAGATCTTAATAAACCTACTTTTACTGATACATATAATATAAGTAGCGTCATTCTATTCAAACTATAACATTAAAGGGATATGCAATTTGAGCTACCTTTATATATATATTTATAGTTATTTATTTTAGGCGTGGCATGATAGTTACGCTTTCATTAATTCATTTAAATCAGAAATGCAGAAACGCGATACATGTAAACTTAATGGTCACACTATATGATCGAGGACTGTTGATCTGTAATAATGTAATTCGTTTTTCTCAATAAACAATGTCGTCTGCTTTATACATTTGAGCACGTATTGGTAACTATAAATACATAAGAAAGGGAGGAACGAACGAACATGAGACGGAACGTACGAAGAAAATAACGGAAGAATAAAGTAAAGAAAGAAAGAAAAAAAGAAAGAAAGAAAGTAAGAAAGAAAAAAGAAAGAAAAAGAAAGAAAGAAAGAAAGAAAGAAAGAAAGAAAGAAAGAAAGAAAGAAAGAAAGAAAGAAAGAGGAACGAATTAATATTGAGTTTCAAACATTTTTTTTAACTTTTACATACATAAAAAATATTAGACAAGAAAATGGTGAGAAGAATCATAATAACATAGGTTGTGGGTAAAATTACAAATCTTTCATTTCTGAATTATTTTTGAATGGATGTAAATGTACATAATATACCTGTACGGCTGTTTGTGCCTCCGGTGTACTTGGATCGAATGTAGAGTCCCAATCCTTTTTCCCCCGGCACTTTGGCGTTGAAAAATGGCAGTCACTCATGTCGTTCGGGTGCATGCCCCAAACAATGTATAAAATCAAAGTTCTGTCGGCGTTACTGAGTACAAAAGAGCTTGATGCATGCTTTTCTGCTTGGCTGTATACATGGCTGTCCTTGAGAACTTTCAACTGCAAGATATATCTTCAAATTACTAAAACATATCTTCTAGAGTGCAACATAAAACCTTCCGTCGAAAAGGAAAATATCTGTGTTTCATGATGTTGTAATAACAGATTTAGAACATGAAAAATGTTTATCACCTGAAGAAAATTGAGTTGGATGTGAAATAATTTTTGATAAAGATTGCACAAGGAAATCAAAGTAGTTTTTTGACTTTCATACAAAAAACTAAACAAGAGCCGGTTGAACCGAGTGATGCTCCCCCAATAGGGTTTGGACACATAAAAGAATACCTCTTGTAGTGTCAGAGTAATGTCCTGCACAAAGTTGAAAATGTACAAAGGGCAATAACTACAAAATAAAGCAAGGCAAAGTTATGGTTATTTTGCAATGCACATCTATCCAATTAGATCTATCTAGTTAAAAAGTGTCAAATTCATATCTATCATACTTTAAGAACTATGTCCTGGACAATCCTCAAAACGTAGAAATTAACAAAGGGTTATAACTTCAAAATTAGGCAAGGCAGAGTTAAGGTTCTTTTGCACTGTACTTTTATTTAATGAGGTCAATCAACCAACAAAGTTTCATTTTGATATCTCTAATGGTTTTAGAGTTATGCCCAGGGCAAAGTTCAAAGTGTAAAAATGAACAAAGGGCAATAAATCCAAAATTAGGCTAGACATAGTTATGGTTCTTTTGCACTACACTTTTCTTCAACGAGCTCTATCTCCCTAAAATGTTGCATGTTGACACCTCTTGTTGTTTCAAAGTTATGTCTCGGATAATAAAAACGGATGAACAGACAGACGGACGGACAAAGCGGCGAATATGCTCACCCTTCGGGAAGCGTAATTACTATAACAATACTATTTGAAAATGCAAAAGAAGCAACAGATGGTTCAGCTTTACGGTCAATTAGTAACATTAGAAACATTTAAAGGACAACAAATTATAAAAGCTTTTGAAAAAATAACAATGATTGCATTTCTGATGCTTACTGGGCCTTTAAAGTCTGAAATGTCTTGACATTTCTTGTTATTTATTTATTTGTTTCATCTGTTTAAGTAGGTAGATGGAATTTAAAATATCCACCTTTTTCTTAAACCAGCTTTACTCATGCTTCGAAATTTTCTAAAAAAATTGATTACATATATTGCTAACATATGAATGTATAGCAACTATACATGTGATCAGATATTCGTGCCATAAAATTCTGTTTTAAAAATATTAATGATGTTAATTTCAATATGAATTATCTCAAATATATGGGATTTTATTAGGTACAGAGTTTATCTTAATAATAATGATGTCAACTTCAAAAAGATCACGTTACATTATTTCAATGCCAGGATTCAAAAAGAGGATATAGAAAATAGCAATAATATATATGAACCTAATCAAGGAGAAAAAATATGTTTAATCAAATGGGCAAATGTTCAAATAACATATAATATGCGATTTAAAAAACTTGACCTGGAATGCTGACTTGTTTACTTGACATAAAGTGTTACAGTACTAAGGTCAAATTAGGTGGTTATAAAGTAAGAAAAGTTGTGTTTGCAAACGATAACAATAGAGCAGAAGAATCCGCTAATCAAAATAATAATTTATTTTAGAAAATAAACAACAACCCCAATTCATATCAACAATCAACCTACACGCCAAGTTTAATTGGCAGATGTACTTTAATACCGTAGTATAGTTTATCTTATTTATTTGTCGTTTAAAGGTACATTCGACATCAAAATACATGTTTCACTCTTTAGAAATGCAAAAATGATTTTAATAACATTTGAATCACAGTTTTACAGCATGTTAAAACTGCTTATCACTTGGCAAAAGAAGCCCTGAATGTGACACATTTTGTCTCAAAAAAGTAGCAAAATGTACACAAAATAGTATTTTAACTTCCATACAAAGTACTAAATCACCATAAAAGTACTTATTGCCATAAAAGCAACACAAAGAAAAGAAGGTTCAGGTATTTGTCCGATAAGAATATTTTTGGAAACTATAAAAAGACACCAAAAATAAAACAAGAGCTGTCGGTAGGACAGCACGCTCGACTATTCTAAGTGCTTGATAGTAAAAGAAACTTGATAATGTTAAATTTTTTAAGTTCACAAAACGGCTATTTTTTTTTAAAATTCATGTTATAGGCCTTAGAGAGAGTCTAATTATACAGTATTGGCTTGACTATTCATAAGGTAATGTCACAAAGGTGTTTTTTGAGTATAATAATACTAATTACCTATGAATACATAAATTTGACAGAAAAGGTACAAATGCTTGTTATTAAGATGTTTTATCAAGTAAATCACTGCTTTATTATTATTAATGCATAAAATTGTCCCAAAAAAGGCACAAACCCTTCAGTTGTTATTGAGATAACAGCTTACAACCAAAACTTTACCAAAAAGGGGAGAAAAATCAGCCTAAATGCAAGATAGAATTATGGATCTTTGTCACTGACCTACAATTATGACCCTAAATGCATATGTGAAGTTTTAAATAAATATCTTTAATAGTTATTGAGATATGTAAAAGTTGCATGTAAACATTAACCAATAAACTAAGTAGAAAAGGGGATACGAATCAGCCTTAATGCAAGATAGAGTTATGGAACTTGGTCAGTGACTTACAATTAAATTCTAAATGCATATGTGAAGTTTTAAATAAATATCTTTAATACTTATTGAGGTATGTAAAACTTGAATGTAAACATTAACCAACAGACTAAGTAGGAAAGGGGAGATGAATCAGCCCTGATGCAAGATAGAGTTATGGAACTTGGTCAGTGACATACAATTATGACCCTCCAATTATGACCGTAAGTGCATGTGTAAAGTTTCAAGTAAATATCTTTGAAGACCTTTAACCTTTAACCAAAATTTCTAAGTTTCAAAGGGGCAAATAATTCTGCAAATATTGCAGGCAGAGTTATGCAATTTTGCAAACTGATGTACATTGTTACTATAAAAAAGTGTTTTAAATTTAAATTGAATATCTCAAGCAATAATTGAGATATTTGACTTTACAAAAAAACTTTAAATAAAATTTCTCAGTTCCAAAGGGGCATAATTCTGTCAATATTGTAGGCAGAGTTATCCAACTTGTCTATGTGATGTACCTTGTTACTATAAATAAGTATTGTAAGTTTCAATTGAATATCTCAAGCAATAATTGAGATATTTGACTTTACAAGAAACTTTAACCAAAATTTCTAAGTTAAAAAGGGGCATAATTCTGTCAATATTGTAGGCAGAGTTATCCAACTTGTCAATCTAATGTACCTTGTTACTATAAATAAGTATTGTAAGTTTGAATTGAATATCTCAAGTAATAATTGAGATATTTGACTTTACAAAAACCTTTAACCAACGCAGACGCCGACGCGGACGCTGACGCCGACGCCGGGGCGACTACAAAACCTCTCATATTCTTCGAATAGTCGAGCTAAAAATGCTTTTAAAAAATAAGAATAGAAGCATTTTTGGGGATATAATGGGCCTTTAGGTAAATATTACGTTCCTTCTGCAAGAATGTTATTACAAAATGTTGATCATTTTGCTGCACACATGATAAATAACGATATTTTGAGAACATTAATGTTATTTAAAATGTAGCTTGTGAATATGTACCCAAAAAAAAAGCTCGCAAATTTTGTAATATCATTCCCATAAACACTGATTAAATACAGGTAAAGTAATGGGACACCTCAAAGCACAGGTATGACGAGACATTAAAAAAATAACCTTAAGTACATTTGCACTTGTATTTATCACGTTGAAAAAAACATTAACACCTACCCCTTCGTCATCTGGTTCCAATCTTGAGGCCTGCACCGTGAAAAAGATAAGAACGGTTGCCATGACAGCGAGGATACCAAATCTCATAATCTTGTGTGTCACAAACTTTGAATATTTATCCCTGAAGAAACGTACCATGATGGATTTTTCTTTCCGCTTTTTTGGAACAGTTTTTCTTTCATCACCATCTGTTTTGTCAGTTGCATCTTTATTCGTGATAGGAACATTTTTAGACTCGTCAACTTCAAAAGCGTTATTCACAAAGCCATTCTCGGCCTTTTCAAAACTTTCGGTATTATTAATGCTGATCTGCGTAGTAAACGAGTTTCTATTTTCTTTAATGCTAACTTGTACATTTCCATTAGCGATACTAGGGCTTTCACTTGACTGAATGCCATTGGATGTTTTACTATTTAAAACAGTACCATTTTTGTCACTAAATTTTGAATTCAAAACGGTATCTTTCCGTCTTTTGTTCGAATATGAATCGTTACTTTCCGTTGTGCAGCATGTGCAATTTTCACGATATAATCTCTTGCAAAACACAAAACATGGCCATTTAAACTTCTCAAACTTTGTGTGATACATTATCACAACTGTTGGAAAGTACAAGATTACGGAAAGGTAGTTGACCATGATTACGAGGCCAGAAAATACACCAAACGATCTCGTGGCTAGAAGTGGTGATATAGCACTCGCAAAGAACGCAACTGACGTTGTAATAGACGTAAATAACATGCTGAATACTGACTTTCTATAAGAGTCGGACAATCTGTGGGCAAGACTTGGGTATGCTTCATATGCTGTATTTCTCCAAACGTCATAAAATACGAAAATATCGTCTGCTCCAATCCCCAGTACAATGAACAAAGTCAGCACGTGAAAAAATCCAATGTAGTGAAAGTCGAGGACAATTCTATAAATGAGATTCGTTATTACAAAACACGACAAAATGCTAAAGATCGCAAAGCCTGTGATCCAGAGAGATCGGGTATGGATCAGTATTAAACAAAATATGAAGCATATGCTTCCAAATGCACAGAATACATCTTTCATTGCCTGGTCAAAGACGTCTTCCAACCAAATCATGTCGGATCTGTAACTAAAATCAAACTCGTCATAGTTCTCGCGAACATACACGAGAGTTGGTTTCATATGTTTGACAGAAAATGACCTCATCAATTTTTCATAATCTTCGTCGTCTGCGTAACCCTGAAGGGGATAGCCCATAGGTACAATCGATCTAGTAATTGAAGAATAAGCTTTTGTTGATGTGATCTCATGAGATTTTCCGAGAAAAAACAGGAAGTTTGCTCTGGTTGCATTGTTTGTATATGCTTCGTATAAAACCGCCACTATATTGTCGAAATTTGGATCATCAAACACCGCGTTAACGCTGGAAAATGTTCCGTCAAAATACCGTATTACAGAAATTGGCTTCTGACATCCGGTAAGACTTGAATTAAGCTGACAGTATTTGTTCTGGTATTCGCTTACTGAGGTGAGTGAATCTTCCACGTTTTGTATTTTCTGTAATCGTTCTTTAGTGAAAATATTTCCGTTGTCAGCATCGTAGTAAAGGTCAAAATTAGCCCGAATGTATGATTTAACACGGTATCCAGTTATCGGTGTCCGGTCATAATATGTGTCAAATTCATTTCTGTATGTCCAGGCAAGATCCCTTGGTCTCCACGGCTGATCGTTGATCTCAAGCGGTAGATTTTCAAAGTCTACCGGAAGTAGGTCATACCCAGAACCCACTAGTATAATTGATATCAGAATCATCAAGATATGGCCCCCTAATGTCACCACTGAAATATTGAAGAAGAAAAGGAGATAGAATAAGAGCTGTCACTCAAGGGACGAATGCCCACGAAAAGGTTTCTTAAGCATGCAGGTATTATAAAAAGAAAAGAGAGTGAAAGTAACTAATTGCTGAATATTGTTCTTTGTATTATTGTACCTGTAATCTCTAATTGTGATAGCATGAACATTCAAAATATAAGTGTGACCTTGACCTTTGAAGAAGAGACGTGGTTCCTGAACGCGACAAAATGTTGTTATAAAATAGACATTTGTGCCAAATTATTACAAAATCCCTCAATGCATGACAAAGTAAAAGTCTGGACTTGATTGTTGTGTAAGTGGGGACAGATAGACATGAGCCTTAGCCGCGACACATTGTCTTCATGTGGTAGACATTTGTGCCAAGTTATTTTAAAATCCTTCCATGCATGACAAAGTTAAAGTCCGGACATGAATGTATATCTTCAATCTCTTCTCGAGAGAATGAGTACCTTCAAACTATAAGTGTGACCTTGACTTTGTAGGGACATGGGCCTTTGTCGCGACACATCGTCTTGATGTGGTAGACATTAATGCCTAGTTATTTTAAAATCATTCGATGCATGACAAAATTACAGCCCGGACACGAATGTGTGTAACTATAAACTCTAATTGTGATTAAGTGAACTTCAGAATGGTAGTGTGACCTTGACCTTTGAGGTAGGGACGTGATTATTGGACGCGACACATCGTCCTTGATGTTGTTGACATTTATGCCAAGTTTTTTAAAATACTTCCATGCATGGCAAAGTTACTGCCCGGACACGATTATGTGCACCTGCGATACTGTGAAACTTCAAAATGATAGTGTGACTAGGTACGTGATTCTTGGACGCGACACATCGTCTTTATGTGGTTGACATTTATGCCCAGTTATTTTAAAATCATTCAATGTATGACAAAGTTACAGTCCGGACACGAATGAGTGTACCTATTTGCTCTAATTGCGATAATGTGAAACTTCAAAATGATAGTGTGACCTTGACCTTTGTGGTTCTTGGACGCGACACATCGTCTTGATGTGGTAGACATTTGTGCCTAGTTATTACAAAATCCCTCAATGTATGACAAAGTTACAGTCCGGAGACGAACTAAGTGGGGACGCACAGACGGACAGTCGGACGGACGGACAGACAGTGCGATTATATTATGCCTCCCTTCGGGGGCATAAGAATATCTACCCTGTATTTATTTTAATGTGAAATATTTAATAATTCAAAACATATGTTAACCTATATATTTCCATAAAGAACATTATAAAGCTGCTATGGAACTTATCAGCTTGGGGTTTTTGTATAGACGTATTTCTTTTTTCTGATTTTATTTTAAATTTTCTTAACTCACGCAACAGTAAAATATAACATAGGATAAACCATGTCTCAAATTGTGCTGTCAATTGATTATATGCCAAACAACTGCGTAGAAGATGTGGAGGATTGTTTTTTATTTTTAGGGGAATATTTGTAGAGGTGAATATTTTTGTTATAGGGGAGCATTTGTTTAAGCAAATATAGAATGTGTCATTTTAAAAACATAGAATCTTTCAATATATTTTCAAAACCACAAAATCAAAATATAAAAAAATTACTTTTAAGTTAGATAAATTCAATATTTACTCAAAAAGAAACGTATCTTCTTATGGGTATCGAATGCATCATTAAGAGTGCGTAATGCACATACGCCAAATGCTACTTCCGTTTCTATGGAAATGTCGTATTGTAAAAATGGTTTATAGAACGTTACTTTAGAACTGGAACCGAATTTCTGTATTTAACTAAGACTCAAACCAGTGGGATATTATTGATATCTCACTAATATTATTCTAAAACACATTTACACGTGATTTTAGCAATCAGGTAAGATAGAAGTGGAATTTATACTACATGTATAAACTAGAAATGTGTCCATAGGACACGGGTGCCCCCACCGTGCCACTGTTCTGTCAATCTTATGACTCTAGGTCAAATATTTTTTGAAAACTAAAAATCTTTTACTAAGTAAAGGGCAGGAACTTTACAAATACAATGTACTGAATAAATCCACAAGCAAACCCCAAGTTGAAAATTGCAAATGTATACTACTGTAAGTCAGGGGCAATAACTCTAACAAAAGAGAAAAAAATCCACATGCACAGTCCCAGGTTAATAGCTTCACAGTGATGTGAATCATTATTCCTGTAATTAAGTGATGTTGATCATTATTCCTGTAAAGTTGGTCGATTCTAACTCACGCACTCAAGCACTCAAGGAACAATAAACAACATAATTTTAACAGTTTTTACTTAGTCAAGGGAAATAACTATACAAATACTGGATAAATCCACAAGCAAAACCCCAGGTGCAAAACTAAATATGCTGAGCAACCTTCCCATAAGGTTTAATGACTCTATGTCAAATCCTTTTTAAGTTACATGCGACACAAGTTGAAAATTGCAAACATTTTCTAAGTCAAGGGCAATAACTCTTAAAGTACTAAATAAATCCAGACGAAAATACCCAGGTGCACAACTTAACATGCTGATCAATATTCCTGTAAAGTTTCATGACTCTATGTCAAATCCTTTTTGAGTTACATGCGACACAAGCTGAAAATGCAAAATTTTACCAAGTCTAGGGCAATTACTCTAAAAATACTAAAATATCCAGACGAAAATACCCAGGTGCACAACTACACATACTGATCAACATTTCTGTAAAGTTTCATGACTCTAGGGCAAATACCTTTTGAGTTACATGCGACACAAGTTGAAAATTGCAAAATTTTACCAAGTCAAGGGCAATTTCTCTAAAAATACTAAACATATCCAGACGTAAATACCCAGGTGCACAACTACACATACTGATCAACATTTCTGTAAAGTTTCATGACTCTAGGTCAAATACTTTTTGAGTTACATGCGACACAAGTTGAAAATTGCAAAATTTTACTAAGTCAAGGGCAATATCTCTAAAAATTACAAAAAATAGCCAGACAAAAAATACCTAGGTGCACAGCGTCACATGCTGATCAACATTCCTGTAAAGTTTCATGACTCTATGTCAAATACTTTTTGAGTTACGTGCGACACAAAAGGGAACGGACGGACGGACGGACGGACAAGGGTAAATCTTAATGCCCGCCACTAAAGTGGGGGCACAAAAATAAGAATGAATCAATATAATAAACAATGTACAGATCTTGTAAATAAAACTATAATGAATGTTAGTTTATGTAAGCATGGGTATTTAATTCCTCATACGGGCAACGACCTAGGTCTGGTTTTAGATTAATTGTAATCTATGTTAATCAAGTTTCAAAAAATGTGCATGTAACAAATAAAATTTAAAGCCGGAGAAGATATATCGGAAAACATTATATAGAAAACATATATTTCGTGGCGGGCGACTGCAAGGTCATAAATCATGTCAAATTTTATAAGTGCATAAGACCTAAACTATGAAATAACATAGAAAATCTGGGGGCTTTTTGTTTGATTTTCTTCTTCTGTAAACTAGGAAAGATAAAAAAAAAGCTTAATTAAAGCGGGAAAAACAAATAGCACTCTTCATGCCGTTAGTATTTATACGACATGTGTGAATTCTTATTATTTTGTTATTAACTGAAATTATATAAGTTTTAGCATTCTCAAACAATTTTCAGGGCTTTTTTAGGGGGGAGGGGGGCATGTTATATTTATTGCTTTGGATGCTGATATATTTATATGTTGTTTTTTTTTCAAAAGAGAGCTTTTCCATCACGACCATCCATTATAATATAAAAGAAATCGTCACCTCAGGACTGGCGATGATAGTTTAATGATTTTCGTTTTTTTTTTAAGTTTAAAAAAATAAATCATTTCCACATGATTATATTGAATTTGTATGAAGTAATCAACATATAAACTGCTATAGATTCACTGAAACTGTCTACTCAAAGTTTAAGGGATTTCAATTTCTTTGTTTAAACTATATGTTGCATTATTAACAGAATATCAAACTCTTTTGGTCGTCTAGTCATACAAGGAAGAAAAATCAAACTTCAATGGGTTAAAAGATTAAGGATAAAAGTTGAAAAGTAATCAAAGACCGTCAGGGTAATCATTTTATTTGTTAAAAATATATCTTTAACAAAATCGGTGCATGCAGTTAGAGCTGTGCAACGTTACCATCAAGGTTTGAAGGGCTGCACAATAATAGAAATAATAACTTACAGAAAGATTGTAGCGGCCATCTTGTAACAATCTTACAGTAGAATAAAGGCTCTCTCTCCCTCCTATCCTTCAACCTCTGCAACGCCTGCGCATGGTCGGCGCTCATTGGCTCCTCATCTGCACTGGTATCTCGTGCGTCCATTCGCTCAGGTCTCACTTTATTATGTGGTAAGTCCGTGTTTACAAACCTGTTGCCGTGATCAATATCACCAACAATATACACGCTGGAATAACCATTTGATTCTTCGTGCTCACCTTTCCCCATTGTCTACCAATACGCGTAGTTTTCCCTCACACCTAAAATGACGTCAAACATTTATTTCTATCTATTCTGCCAAGAATTATTCCGTGTAGGAATGACAATCGATTGCTAAAATTATTCCGTTTTCACAGACTTTCTTTCAATATAATCCAATATACGTTAACTATATATAGTATAACGAATCTGTTAAATAAATATGTATGTAGAATGCTTTCAAACAATGTGGATATTTGAACTATCCTTAAACAATCTCAGTGTACGTGTACTGTAAACCATGCTTTTTGAACCGTTTGATAAATGACCCGTTTCAAATACATTCGCCAGTATTTGGTGTAATAGTATGCTATTTATTATAGTTTCATAACAGTTCGATATATGTTTAACTGTTGTATAAACATTTACCGTTTTATACAATACTCGCAACACACACCTTTATTTCTGCACATTTAAATCGATTTTTAGGTCCGATTTATGTGTTAATCCATTATTTAATCATGCACATTAAAACTTATTTCATATCTACAAGTTATTTTGTTTCGTAGATCTATATCATTTTGTTCAAATTATGTTGCCTAGGGCGTATTGTTGTACTGCAGTTAAACGTGTTCCGAACGCGGATTTTAAATCTACCCGGATGTAGCTAGTCGACAAATATAACTACATTCAGATAAGATCTACTGAATAAACAAATGAAATGCGGCGTAAAACAAAGTTGCTAATACCCTTTTTACCCCTTATCTCTTATTTACGGTGTCCTGTTAGGGCCATCGCGACAATTTTCATAATCGTGATAAAAAAAACTGATTTGAAAATAATAAATGAATAAAAAAAAAAAAAAAAAAAAAAAAAAAAAAACACGACGAATTTTACAGATTTCATGTGGAAACAAATGTTATTAGTATCATTGGAAACGTTGAATTCGATAGAAACAAAATGGAAATATGTTTACGACCAATTTGACAGCGGAAAAAGATGACTTCAATACACGGAAAAAGAATAAATAATGCGATGGATATGACACGGAAAACTATGTATTCAATGACGCTTAGGAAGTAATTGTAAATTATAATTAAGAGACTTTCCTTACAGTTATCTGAAAAAAAGTTCGTTTATGAAGGGTGTTATAGACAACATTCTCCATTTGGCACAACATCTGTGGTAATGTCAGTCGTTATGCCCTCAACACGCCACTTTCATAAAATCACGTCATCATTTCAAAAGAATTATTTTAAACTATTCAAGCTCAATGGCGAACCTTATATTAATCACTTTCGAGTCCGCTTCCCGGAACCAACCATTAAGCTACAGTCTCACTTACATTCCGGCAGAGCCCCGGTAGCCGTCCGGGGTGATCCGGGAACGACCGGGGTACGACCGGGAACAACCGGGGTACATCCGTAACTCTGCCAGCAACGTCCTGGATGATCCGGGATGATCCGGGAACATCTGGCATTCGACCCTGGATGGAATAAAATATTTAATATCACCGGGGCTCTGCCGGGATGATCCGGGAAGGTATAGCTTTGCCGGCTTCATCCTTAGCTCTGTCGGGAACGACCGGGGTTATACTGGGAAAGTACCGTAGCTCTGCCGGCACAAACCGGGGATGATCCGGGGTATGATATAGCCGGTAGAGCTACGGTAGAGCCCCGGTATATGCCGGCAGAGCCCCAGTAACTACAGGCAGAGCCCCGGAGGATAAAGGTAGAGCTACGGTTGATCCTGGTAGAGCCCCGGCAAAGCCCGGATCATTTCAAAAGAATAAGGACAATTTGCGATGATTGAACTTCTTTGTATTAAAAGCCTTCCCATTTCCCTTCTATCCAGTATGGCATAGTTTGTTTTTTTCTTTCAGAAAATCATCATAAATAACTATTCTGGAACAATAGATATTATATTAAATAAAAATTATGTGTCAATGTTATCATTTTCGGGCGTTTTCAATCCACCGGGGTTCTACCGGGGCTCTGCCTGGATCGTCCTGGGCTCTTCCGGGGCCCTGCCTGGATCGACCGGGGCTCTGCCTGGGTCAACCGGGGCTCTTCCGGTGTCATCCGGGAACGACCGGGGAAGCACCGGCATGAACCGTAGCTTCACCTGGGCTCTGCCTGGATGATCCGGAGCGCATCCTGGGTGGTTAGTAGGAAACTACCGTAGTGCTGCCGGGATAAGTGTGACCGCAACAATAATTTCATCCCGGATCGTCCTGGATCATCCCGGTAACTTACCGGGATGGTCCTGGGCTCTGCCGGGAGTAAGTGAGACCGAGGCTTTACTGGTGTGATATGAAGAAACATGGTCGTGACCCGAGTAGGGCTCGAACCCATGATCTCTTTGAGGGAAGACACCTTCCTGTTACACATTTTTTCATGGTTTAATTTCATAAATATGGTGCTCAAATTAAGATTTGTCAATATTGTAAGTTCCAATAAGCATTATTTATAAAGATATTACCGATTTTAATATTTCATGTAAATAAAGGGAGATAATTAGAAATTTATTTTCTATAAATTCTAAGTCAAATTTTCCGATAAGAAATGAAAGCATATAATTTATTGATTAAATATAATGTGTTTAAATATTTGCAGTACACATTTTACATATTCTTCGATGTTTGAAAATTGTTTTACTTCATAATTATATACATATATATTTTTTTTTTGCAAGTGTGGTATACAGACAGTAACAATATCAATCACAAAACATACAGCATCTTTAACCACTAGGCCACCGTCGCCTTTTAAAAGTATGAAAGAATACAAAAGAAACCAATGTAAATCTTAACAAAAACATTTCTTGCTGAGGGTGACTTGGACTTCCGATGCAGTAATTTCGGAAGAAAAAAAATCTAAAATCTTGTCTAAACAGAAAATTTTAATGACTAATTTTATGACGGTTATGTTCGCGGTTGGTTTCAATTTGCATGTGATTTCAGTATTGCATAACAATGCTCAGTGTGTACGATTATCGTTTAATAGTTACCCATGGGATAATAAAAGGGAGGAAAAACTTTGACACTTTTGTGTGAAAAGTTCAACACACGGCTTACTCTGTAATTGGGCAGAAAAATAATCATTGTATATAGTGTTCATGACCGCTATTTTATGTTGCATAATTTCATATGTAAGAAATTAATTAATAGGTATTTAGTTCATTGATAAAAAAAAGTCAGAGAGAAATTTGATCAAGCAGGTGTTCAAGAAATTTGCATGTTTGTAATAATATGATCGGTTCGTCTCTATGCATTAAATGCATCCAGTATAATAATTCTCACAGTATAGTTAAAACGCAAAACAATATTAAAAAGGTTGAAGGCATAATTAACATCTGATCACATGAAAAGATACACTTTTCAGTGAAATCAGCAAAAATTTATCCAAAAAAAATATATATATATTTAGGGACTATAATGGGTTTATTTGCTAAAATATAACTGAATGGTTGTTGTAATTTGTATGTATTTGTATCTAAATACAATTTGAAATTGTTGTCGTAAACATGAGCGATTTTCATTTATTTTCTGACTTCATATTATCTCTTTTGTAAAATGGATTTAACTTTGAATACTAGCATGTACTCGATGGATATAATATTAGTTATTATATTGTGGTTATATAAACGGCTATTTGTAAATATAACCCGAGCCGCTAGGCGAGGGTTATATTTACAAAAAGCCGTTTAAATAGGGCCATATAACCTGTCAACATTCTTTTTAACTAATAAGGTAAACTTCACGATTATCCAACGAAAAGCGACGTTACAAACGTGCAGTGGTGTATTAACAACTATATAATTATAGTGCGTGCGTCCGTACGTCATTTTAACTGATCATATAATTATTTGTTTTGTGGTTATTATTGTAGCTATCAATTCAACGCAGAAAATATTTGCGAAATTTTTCACGCGTTCAATTTTACAAACAACAAATGAATAAATTAACGAACGAACGAACGAGTGAACGAACGAACAGACAAACACATCCTTATTTCGGTGATGTATCTAACACATATACTCGTATACTTTACAGTCTATCAGTAACCTTCATTCTATGAAGATATAGAATGTAATGATACCATTGCGATTTTGAAGTTAAATACATTGTATGCACAAAATCTAGATGCTTTCTCAGCTTTTATATTAATTTACATACTGCAGTAACAAAATCCAAAGTGATGTTACAAGCAAAGTTGATAAAAATGTCATTTGCATATCATTAAATTTATAAGCACACACGAGGTATTTAAGAGAAATCACCGAAACATGCAATATGTATTTTTACTATGCTGTTTATGTAAATTACCATACTGAAGCACTTTGTTCAAAACGGAACTCATTTTAGCATTATTGAGGCGTATATCTTATCATTTGACAGATGAAATGAAACATTTATTTCATAATGGCGAATTTTCATTATTGTTCTTCTGTTTGGAGCAAAGTTTGAATACAATTGGTAACATACAAATAAGAGCTGCAAGGGTTATATTAAACCAAACATCACAAACAAGAAATCAAGCTATACTGAAAGAACTTGGATGGATGTCGTAATTTTCATACTGGAATTCTTATTTATAAAGCTTGTAATAACCTAGCGCCATCTTATTTATCTGAAATTTTTACCTTTTCCTGCAATGAAATTCACAACTTAGATCAGCATCACATAATGACATAGTTATACCTAAACACCTCACAAACTATGGTAAAATACTTTTTGTTACAATGGTGCAAAGATTTGGAATAGAATACCATCTAATATCCGTTCTTCTAATTCTCTGACATCTTTTAAAAATAAGTATAAAAACATATCTTGCAGATCAAATAATTATCTTCATGTCATTATGTTATAATAATTATTATGCATGCATATTTGTTTAAGTATTTGTAAATGAAAATTGTATAAATGATATTTAGTATCTAAAAGGAGCGTTTGTCAAAAAGGTTATAGGGCAAAATCTTAATGGAATAGTTAAATGTTGTTATTGTTTTATGATGTTTTGTGTTATGTTTCTTTATATTGTTTAGAATGCTACAATTAAAAATTAAGACGTGTTATTTATTTTTAACGATGGTATACCTTCATGGATTACTGTCTCTGAATAAAGATATTATTATTATTATCATCATCATCATCATAAAAAGTATAAAGATCCCTTTGAAATGTCATTCGTTAGATATTATTGGGGCAAAACCTTATGTACTACTGAGGACACTCATTACATTTCATTATGATGTGCAGAAGATGGTATCGACTATTTTGAGTGCTGGATAGTAGAGGAGGCTGGATAAACCAAGAAAATATTGGGAGATTATTCAGTCATAACCAATGCCAGAGTTATGAATCTTGGATAGGGACCTCCAACTACAATCCCAGACATGAAGTAACCTTCTTCGCAAAGGACCATAAAAAAGTCAAAATCAATGTCAAAGTTTTTAACCCTGCATGGAAAGTGACCTCCAATTAAGAAATCAATGACACGAAAGAGTTTCAAGCTCACAAAGGGCGATAAATTAGTAAAAGTCCATCAGAATTATAGGCCTATGGAAGTGACCTCTAATTGTTATCCGAAGGTCATTGCTAAGTTTCAAGTGAATATCTTCAGTATTTTTGAAAATTAGTTTTGCGTTCAAGATTTTTTAAAGATTACAAAAGGCTATAAATCCGTCAAAATCAAAAGACGTGTGTGAAGTTACAAGAAATTGTCTTAAGTGCATGTTGTATAGAGTTGCTCGAAAAAGTTTAGTCAAATGTTACACCGACATCCACGCCCGGATGAGTAGGATAGCCCAACTATTCTCCGAATAATCGAGCTAAAAACGTTTTTAGAAAACAAAAGTCAACTTCTTGCAGCAGACGTCTTTTCAGTTATTTTCCCCCATCCAGTCCCAATGGCCTTGTCATGTTATCTGATACAGATACACGCGTAAATTAATGTGTAAATAAACAATTAAAGGTGCGCTTTCCTTTGGAAACGAGGATTTAAAATATTTACAGACCAAAATGAAAAAAAGTTTTACTTACCTACAAAACATCATACACAGGTTTATCCTCAATAAATCATATATAGTAAATAACAGTTTCACTACAGTTCACCGGGATTTAGTAATAGTCGAAAAGCGGACCAAGTAGCAAAACTATTATGTAAAATGATACGGACAAGAAGTTTTTAAAGATTACCTTGAATAGATAACACAGATAAAAGAAATGAAAGGAAAAAGTCAAGGTATGGTTAAGTCGTTAATCTATCGGAAGTATATATTTCTTAAGGAAAGGGGCGTCTAAGTAATTAAGATACATCAAACAAAGGCGTGCATTCAGTACGAATTTAGACGAAATTTTATCTTTTAATCATAAATTTCCTAAAATATGTAGTCAAAATTGTGGGAAATGACTAACGCATGGTTTCAAAAAAGGAATCTTGCGGGGAAAATGCAATAAGCATTTTTGTCAAAATCTGCCTTATTGCATTAAATGGTTTTAATCTCAAATCAATTATTGTTTCAGAAGTTTAACTTTTCAGTTCAGGCATGTATAGTGTCAATCTACTGCCATTAGTCTACAGCAAGACTGCTCTTGACTACTTCTATACAGTATTCAACTGGTCGATTATTTTTTTAGATTTACATGTACCACTGCAAACGTTTCCAACAACACTTCATCCTTAAATGTGCGATGGAAGTAATGACACTTTCACCTGGAACGTAATGTAAGCTATCATAGCTTCAACAAAGTAATAACGGAGACACGTGCATGTTGTGCTTATGTATTTATCAATTCTCATATATGAAGGCCGTTGACCAATATCTCAGAATGTTCTATTGTGCTAACCATATCATTAGTGAAAATTTAACAGAATATTGAATTATATTAACCAACTTGTTTATCAGAAATTTGACCGTCATTATATGCGGACAAAAGTTTCAGTTCATTTGGAGGGTAAGCATGGAGTTGTCTCCGTAGTTTTTTTTTTTCTTAATTAATAATTTCGTTTCGTTTCCCTAACAACAGAATGACAATGACCTCATACATATCTAGATATTTAATACATTTGCTTCCGTAGATGTGTATATACACGTACATGTAAATTAACCAGTCTTTATAGGGAAGAAAGAGAATATCCATTGAAAGGGAAAAAAGAGAATTTCCATTCATCCACCCCACTACTATTGATTAGATCATGCTGCATCTAAAATCTTAATATATTCCATATAATCCAAATTTCATAGCTCTGAGCATTGAAATTTCAGAGAAGAAAATATTTAGGGCATTTTACTTTACAAGTCCATGTAAACAAAGTGACCCCAGGCCGGGGCCATTTTTTGATTCCAGGGATATGACTTGTATCACTTATGTGGAGATCCACCATGCGATGCTACATGCAAACTATATAAGCTCTTGCACTATACAAGTCTATATATAAACTAAGTACTCTTTGGGACTACCTGCTAAATACTTAATCTATATGCATTGCAGTCTCGGAGGTCTCCGAGATATTATTACTATACAAGTCTATATAAATTAAGTGACCCCTAGGGCTGGACCAATTATGACCCCAGAGCCATGATTTATATATCTTTTGTAGATGTTCACTTGGCAATGCTACATGCAAAATATCTAAGCTCTTGGCACTGCAGTTTTATAAAAGAGGACTGAACTATTTTTTTTTCTAAATAAGCCTTTCTTTTATAAATTTAGTGACCCCTAGGGTGAGGCCATTTTTGACCCTAGGGGCATGAATACCAACTTTAACCCCAGGGCCATGACTTATTAACTTTTGTAGAAGACCACAAGGTGATGCTACATGCCAAATATCTAAGCCCCCAACATTGTAGTTTCTGAGAAAGGGATTTCTAAAGATTTCACTTTTATTCTATGTTTAGCTCCTGCTACTAACGCAACAGACTGGAACCATTTAAAAAATTTTTTTTGGAGCCCCCTAAGGACTTTGGTCAAAATCCCAACCCTGGTTAAAGATGTTGTTTAAAGATAAAATTTGGATAACTTGGGTGGTAACCAAGGAAAACTAAACCCCAATTAAATTTTACCACATTATTTTGTGTTAGGTACTTAAAAAGGAAGTGTTCATCCATGAATTTCAAATTAAAACCACAAAACAGTTTTATAATTATAGCCAGGACCAAACAATTTTGAAAATTCATTGAATATTCAAATTAATATCCTTAACACTTTATGACTTATGGTCTAGACACAAATTGTTCAGGAAATGAAGTTTTAATTTGATATATCAAAAACAACTCCCGACAAAAATTAGCATGTAAACTATGAAAGGGAAGTAACTCAAAAATTATATTGGGTAGAGTTATCACTCTTGTTCAGTACACTCCTCCTCAATAGAATCTACGTACCTATGAATTTTTAAGTTGATAATTATTTTAAATACTTTTTCAAGTTACTTAAAACAAAAATGCCGGACAGAAGTGTTCGCTATACTTATTCATGACATAACATCATTGCATATACTTGTCAATAAATTTTAGTTTGCCTTTCTTTTTACCATTGAAGGAAAAACATATACAATACAAAAATGTTTCAAAACGTTTGTTTTTTTTATTAAAAAATAATGTTCAAAGGGAGGCTATGGAAAATCGCTTGTTAAGGGATAAATGGTAAAATTATGCAATTTTGCAGCTTTTGGTTAAACTCTCATTTAAACATAAATTGTTCTGCCTGCATATATTCACCAAATGACGTTATTTGTCTATCTATTTGACCTGTGTTTAAATTTATTAACATAAAATATTACACAAGTCATGTTAAATGTCTGTATTTATTAGTGTTATATTGATCAACAAAGCAAAGTACAGTATAGTATATTTTTGTGGGGCAGAAATATTTACATGCATGTCATAAAAACCTTACAACTTTTTGAATATATTGAATTTTCTAATAAAACAGTCAATTTTAAACAATGTAAATAGATCTAAGCTTCACATTTTATACATGATCATGATTAAACAAGTGCATGAATATTTAGGTCATTTACCGACAATAAAAACAATTCTGAGGTCAAGGTCATGATTCCTCATATGATGGCCCTGAGGTCGCTCACCTGTATATAGCCCCCCCCCCCCGGGCCAATTTTTACCCAAGGGCTTTTATTTGTTTATTTGAACAGACTTGGTAGACACCCATAAGAAGATGTTTCATGCTAAACATCTAAGTTCTAGCTCATTGGGTTTTTTAAAAGAACATTTTTTAAGTTTTTACTATACACATATAGTTAAAAACAATGACACCCTTGGGGCAGGGCCAGTTTTGACCTCCGGGCTTTTATTTGAACAAATTTTGTAGATATTTACTAAAAGATGTTTCATGCTTAATATCTAAACTCTAGCTATTTGGGTTTTTTCAAAGAAGATTTTTAAGTATTTGCTATACACAAAAAAGGAAAATCAATGACCCCCAGGGCAGGGCCAAATTTTGACCCCGGGGCTTTTATTTGAACAAACTTTGTAGACACTGATTAGAAGATGTTTCATGCTTAATGTCTAAACTCTAGCTATATGGGTTTTTTCAAAGAAGATTTTTCAGTTTTTGCCATACATAAGGAAAATCAATGACCCCCGGGGCGGGGCCAATTTTGACCCCAGGGCTTTTATTTGAACAAATTTGGTAGACACCCATTAGAACATGTTTCATGCTAAATATCTTAGCTCTAGCTCTTTGGGTTCTTTAAAAGAAGATATTTTAAGTTTTCACTATATGCATATAGGGAAAATCAATGACCCACTGGGGCGGGGCCAATTTTGACCCCAGGGTTTTTATTTGAACAAACTTGGTAGACACTCACAAGAAGATGTTTCATGTCAAATATCTTAGCTCTAGCTCTTTGGGTTCTTTAAAAGAAGATTTTTTAAGTTTTTACTACAGTCCAACCCCGTTTATTCGAAGTGCCTGGGACTGAATATTTACTTCGAGTTATCGATGGGTTCGAATAATCGAAATTGGAATATTATGATAGACGAAAACTACTCCACTTTGACCAATCATAGCAAAACTACCGTTTACAACACACTTACTTCCTGTAATCAATTGAGGAAAATAAATATTAAAGAAAAGATGCGTAAAAATTGTTGTATTGACATTGAAGACATAAATACTTGCATTTTATTCTACATGATGTATCGTTTCGCTTCGCGCAAAGCCTTGTCACTACGGTATTTACAGCTAAACTTAGAAAAAAGGCTCTCATGTAGCGTTACAATATATGAAAAAAATGTGTTGGATGTTTTGACAAATTTACATATACGGTATGTATGAAAATAATTGCCGTCATCTTCAAGCAATAACAGTAACAAAATCGGACACGTTGCATTGCTTTTCATTATCGGTAATTAAAGTTGATTAAACAACACACAAAGAGTTATTATCATGACTGTCTAAATGCACGCATGACTGTTGATATTTTTCACATGTCGACCGGTCAGCGAGTGGATCTGCGCCAATTAGTCTGGCTTCGAATAATAATTAGACTGGCTTCGAATAATAGGTGTGAAATTCTTTCATAATTGTATAATCGGGACCGGAATTTTACCTCGAAAAATAGGAGGTATTCGAATAATGCATTTCGAATAATACGCTCGTATTTATATTGATTTATATAGAGATAAAAACGGGACCGCCGATCTACTTCGAATAATGCCGGGTATTCGAATAAAGGGTTGTCGAATAACCGGGGTCGGACTGTATATGCATATAGGGAAAATCTATGACCTCCTGGGGCGTGGGCCAATTTTGACCCCAGGGCTTTTATTTGAACAAACTTGGTAGACACTCACTAGAAGATGTTTCATGCCAAATATCTTAGCTCTAGCTCTTTGGGTTCTTTAAAAGAAGATTTTTTTAAGTTTTTACTATATGCATATAGGGAAAATCAATGACCCCCTGGGGCAGGGCCAATTTTGACCCCAGGGCTTTTATTTAAACAAACTTGGTAGACACTCACTAGAAGATGTTTCATGTCAAATATCTAAGCTCTAGCTCTTAGGGTTGTTTAAAAGAAGATATTTAAAGATTTTACTTTCGGTTGCCATGGCAACCAGAATTCTGCATGGAATTAAATTCTTTGAACAATCTTTAAAGGTGACCACCAAAGGAACATTCCTGTGAAGTTTGGATGAAATTGGCTCAGTGGTTTATGAGGAGATGTCATTTAAAGCAAAAGTTTACGGACAGACGGACGAAAAGCGATCACAAAAGCTCACCCTGTCACTTTGTGACAGGTGAGCTAAAAATGTGGAAAGAATCAAAATGGAAAGAATTACAATCAGTTGTGGTGAAAGTCAGAAATTTTCCTATGCAACTTTGTTACTGGTGGATGTATTATAAAACATCAAATCAATGAAATAATTTGTTAAATGTTACATTTAAACATACATATTTACTCTAGACGTTTCTATCACTTAGCAAAAACATTTATCAGCTTTTTTACAGGCATACTGGTTGTTGGATACAATATGCGTGTATATTATACTTTCTTTCCATCACTTGCTAATGGCATATCAACACTTAGTGCAAAAACGAAGTGTGTACCTTTAATCTTTGTTTTGAAAAAGTCTTAAACAAACAATAACCACAATTTAGAATACTAAATATAACTCACTGACTTAGTTTTGATTTCCAATGAAAAAAAATATTGTTTAGTAAATGAAATATATATATAGAGAGGATATTAAATGAGTGTAGATTCAATACTGACTTTATTGAACAACTTCATGCATAAAATAATATTATGCAGCAATTCATTTTACTCAACAAGTTCAATAAACTATTTGATGAATATACACAAATATAACATTCTAAAATTCACATACCTAGAAAATAAATGTTTACAGTGAAAAATAATCATTTTGTTACCGCAGCACCTTTAGTGTAACACTTTACATTAGGGCGTATTTATGTTGTTTGCATAATGTAAATGATGTTACGTCAAAACATATGCACTGCCTTGCAATATCATTTTGACAGAGTCGGAAAGCGGCATGGGTGATAAATATTTATATTTCACTGATAAACATCTGTTTATCATCATTTACTAATGTACAATTTCATACAACAATAAACATGTACAATCAAGTTGAAAAACAATATTTTCTTGTCAGTTGAAAATCAATATTTTGTTGTAAATAAAATGTATTTTTCTTGTTAACTGGATCCTTTCCAATTGATAAAACATTGCTAATTTCCTTTCAAAAATGTAACTAAAATTACAAGTTTGACTGCCACAACTTGTTTTCTTTTACCAAATTTACCTAAATTTTATAAGTTATCAATTTCTGATTATATGGACCCATTCCAGAAAGAAACAAAATTTAATCATTATTCCTTTATAAGGATATTACAAATTAGTTACAGCACCTACACAAGAATCACCACCCATACACTGCTTTAACACTATAAATAACCCATACATTAACTACAATGGTATCATCACAGACATCAAGAATACAATATATCATAATGTCCAGGTCGATACAGCAGTGTTATCAATGGTGTAGAATCTTCAGGAAAGTGATGACTGTTACATTTGTCTGTGCCGGCTCTATCCATGTACTCCACTCTAACCGGAACACCCAGACTTGATGTCAGGGCTATGATGTGAATGTGGTCCGATTCTTTACCCATTGGTTCAACTTCCTAAATGTAAAAGATATACATATATTGGTAAATGAATTATGATTAAATCTGTACATGTCTCAAAATTTATTGTTTTCACTCAGCATTGCATAATATCACCTTAACATGCTGATTTTGGAATTGTCCATTATCAATTTTAAGAATATTAAGATGAAAATTCGAAGCTGGTCAACTAACAGTATAGTGCCTGTTTAATGCAGTGTTAGTGCAGGCTGGCCTGGCTTTATACTGGTGGCAAAACACTAGTCATTTTCAGTTCCAGTAGAACAAGGCTTCATTTAACCATTATTTCATTTTTTACTACACATGTTTAATATTGTTAACATTAAAAATCATAAAATGGCATGTAACACATTGTATTTGCTGTTATACTTTAGCAGAATTTAAAATATCATGTGATTACACAAATTTTCTTATTTGTTATCACTTCATATAAAATTGCATTCAACATGTCCCTGAAATGTTATATCTATTATCCTTTCAAACAAATTCAAAGGTGGTATGATATATATACCACTGTTTTTTATTGTAATGTTTTTTTCAACTAGTACTTAATGATGAACTTTATTTCAAAACATTTAAAATACGCCAATTATAGCCATTTTTGCACAATAAAACAAAAGCTCAGAATACTGCTTACTAAATGAAAATTGCAGAGTAACTAATTTACTTATTTGCAAATTTAATAATTAACAAGAGGGACATGATGGCCCTGAAGTCGCTCACCTGTATATAGGCCCCCGTAGCGGGGCCAGTTTAAACCCAGGGCTTTTATTTGAACAAACTTGGTAGACACCCATAAGAAGATGTTTCATGCTAAACATCTAAGGTCTAGCTGGTCAAGTTTTTTCTTTACACATATAGTGAAAAACAATGACACACCTGGGGCAGGGCCAGTTTGGACCCCAGGGCTTTTATTTGAACAATCTTTGTAGACACTTACTAGAAAATGTTTCATGCTTAATATCTGAACTCTAGCTATTCGGATTTTTCGAAGAAGATTTTTAAGTTTTTGCTATACACATATAAGGAAATCAATGACCCCCGGGGTGGGGCCAATTTTGACCCCAGGGCTTTTATTTGGACAAACTTTGTAGACACTTACTAGAAGATGTTTCATCCTTAATATCTAAACTCTAGCTATTTGGGTTTTTTCAAAGAAGATTTTTAAGTTTTTGCTATACACATACAGTGAAATTTGAGAAAACCAGACGCTGAGAAAATCGGAACTCTCTCAATACCGGACAAATAATTCAGTCCCAAATTTTCCCTTCTTTAAACTATTGTATTAAACATTGACAATACCGGAATCTGTAAAAACCGAATATCGGACGGTTGATAGGGGACTACAAAGTGAATTATATAGACAATTACCCTGACAATACCGGACGACGAAGGTGTGAATAACCTTGTGTACTTATCAATTGGTTGAGTCTAATACGCTAACTGAGCGGTAACGGAACAATGATTGTCTGGTTTTTTTAATAATGTCACATTTCACAGTTTGATTTTATTTCAAGGTATAGATGTAACCGTTTTATATAAATGCTAAAATGCACGAGGAATTGATAAGTTAAAATCAGTTGACGACAGCTGTCTATAAGAGATAAATTTAAATTATTTAAAGACAGTGAAACTTTGCTGAGACCTACTTTAAAAATCTTTACCTGACAAATATGGTATAGTTGGGGCATTATTATAAACAAACAAAGTAAACTATATGTATGTTCGTTAAATCATTATCCATTACCTAAATGTAAACATATGGGGGTGTAATCGGACTTCATCGTTATGAGGTATCTGCTGTTCGTTTAAATCCAAAATTTTATTGTATTTATATGCAATAATGGGACAAAAACAATTAAAACATATTGCATAGCATTTTTATCATTTCTTTATTAAGCAATACACTTACTTATAATCATGAAAATGCAAATATACGTTCAGCATCCTTTGTAAGTCATTAGTCTGTTTATATGATCCTGAACAGCTGAAGGGGACATTGAAAATACCAGACCGCTGAGAAATGGGACAAAACCCTCGGTCCGAAAGCCGTCCGGTTTTCTCAACTTTCACTGTATAAGGAAAATCAATGTCCCCTGGGGCGGGGCCAATTTTGACGCCAGGGTTTTTATTTGAACAAACTTTGTAGACACTCACTAGAAGCTGCTTTGTGCTTAATATCTAAACTCTAGCTATTTGTGTTTTTTCAAAGAAGATTTTTTAAGTTTTTGTTATACACATATAAGGAAAATCAATGACCTCCGGGGCGGGGCCAATTTTGACCCCAGGGCTTTTATTTGAACAAACTTGGTAGACACTCACTAGAAGATGTTTCATGCTTAGTATCTAAACTCTAGCTATTTGGTTTTTTTCAAAGAAGATTTTTTAAGTTTTTGCTATACACATATAAAGAAAAAAAATGACCCCGGGGCGGGCCCAATTTTGACCCCAGGGCTCTTATTTGAACAAACTTGGTAGACATCCATTGGAACATGTTTCATGCTAAATATCTTAGCTCTAGCTCTTTGGGTTCTTTAAAAGAAGATTTTTTAAGTTTTAACTGTATATGCATATAGGGAAAATCAATGACCCCCTGGGGCGGGGCCAATTTTGACCCCAGGCCTTTTATTTGAACAAACGTGGTAGACACTCACTAGAAGATGTTTCATGCCAAATATCTAAGCTCTAGCTCTTTGGGTTTTTTAGAAGAAGATATTTAAAGTTTTTTCTTTTGGTTGCCATGGCAACCAGTGTTCTGCATGGAATTAAATTCTTTGAACAATTTTCAAAGGTGACCACCAAAGGAACATTCCTGTGAAGTTTGGATGAAATTGGATGAAATTGGCTAAGTGGTTTATGAGGATGTCATTTAAAGTAAAAGTTTACGGACGCCGGATGGAAGGCCGGACGAAAAGCGATCACAAAAGCTCACCCTGTCACTTTGTGACAGGTGAGCTAAAAACTCCTACAACTTTGTCACATTACCTGGTTACAGAATTCTTTCATTGTTCTCCCCCCTTCAACAAAACTACCAAAGAAATCTGCCTCTTTTTGAAGGTAGCCAGAGACAAGTAATCTGAAAATGAACAATATTTACAATATTGAACTCAAACAAAGAAACATCTGTTCTTAAAAATACTTTCATTCAGACATATTACAACTGCCATTGATGGTCATCATTACGTTCCTTTTTTATTCTCACACTCCACGTTATTTTGTCACTATAGACAAAGAAGGAAAAAAACCGGTGTTAAACTGCCAATAAACACTGGTTAGGGACTACTTGTATATGCGGCTGTTATGTTTTCATGATTATATAGTTTACAAAGCCTTTTAAAGCAACAATAAAAAGCTTTTTTATTTATATTTTCAATTCTTATAATGTTTTCTTTTCATACAATATTGAAACAATATCTTAAATACAGTAACGCCACATATTTGATCCATATCAGTAAATAAATATTTTGACAAAACGGCGCCAATTCGTAAGCAGCGTAATGACGTCATCGTAAGTAAACAACTCATTCATAAACAATTTATATATACAGGAATGATAAATGGGGCATGTTAAGACAATACGAAGTAAGTTTTTATTGTTGAAAACTTGATAAAATAACGTTTTTTCTTATTATATCTTTTGTTCAATAATTTCTTTATCTTAGCAACAGTAGGGTGCGAAAATCGAACAGCGTTATACAAAAATAAGCAACAGAAGTTATTTCCACTTGAAAAAATAACATCTTCCTTATTTTATCGTGTTAGAATCGAAATAACATGTATATCGGCTGTTTTACACCAGTTTTGTCGTTTTGATGCGAAAAAATTAACCACTCAGGCCTACAGCCTTTGTTGTAAATTCCTACGCATTAAAACTCCAAACTGGTGTTAAATAGCCGATATACACCTCTCAGGCCGATGTTATTTCTTAAACAATAGCAGTGCAAAAGCATAAGTTTTGAAAAATCACTTTGCAACTCAGGTCAAATTTAAGACAGATGGTGGGGATGGAAAGAAGAAGGTTTGGTCAAGGCCATGGCAACTTTTAAGATTTACCACTGAAAGATAACATCAGGGGCTACTTTATACATTATTTAAAGTTACATTAAATAAATATGTAAAAATATTTTGCCGTCGGCCTAAAAATCAAACATTCTACAGTTTTATTAACCTGTTTAATAGTGTTGTTGTAAACCTCATCAAATATTGTTCATAAATTAGGATTTTAAACGGGAAACCCCACGGTAACACTAAAGTTCGAATACGAATTTTAACATGCAAATGAAGACTATAATGAGCTCGTGTATGCGCTACGACACAGTTTTATAGTTGCTATCCGGTACACAGCAAATGTGATATTTTCTTGTGCAAACACAGTTTTACCGTTTAAGCTTCACGATGCACTAAACCTGGGGTTCAGTTAAAATAATCATCTCGTAAAAAGATTAAATTTGTATGAAAACATCCGTTACAATGCGGAAATATACCGTTAAATTAGGACTGCCACTTATAGTCATGTTTGTTGATTTAATATTGATGTACGGATGATCCGAAGGCGGAGTTTCTCATGCAAACAGAAATTGTACTTCCCATTTCGCCACAATGAGGTTACCTATTTTCATGCTAATAAAACTCATTTTTGTTGTTTGTACACCAAAATAAGACCTGGAGTCGATATAAAACCCAATTTATTAATGAAATGTCGCTACTTAGTTTTTTATGAAATTTATTAAATGTAACTTTAAGGTACAAGCAGGTATCTGGGTAGAAACATAATAAATCAAAGAGCTAATTGGATAGCTTCCTTGCTTGAAATACTCCTGTGTCACATACAGGATTTGGCCTAGCAGCAATGAACGTTAAATCATTCAATATCAGCGACCATAACCATTTTCACATAGACCCCACCCCCAACAATATATATCTAATATATATATATCTTTTGTCATTTCTTGAAAATAAATATTTATATAATACAAGAGCTGTCGGTAGGACAGCAACGCTCGACTATTCTTAGTGCTTGATAGTAAAAAAAAATGCTTGATACAGTTACCTCCTCCTGTTTACAGGTTGGGGTAATGATGGTGAACAAGTGTGCAATGTTTCAAAGCCATATGTCAATGGACTTTGAAAATATTTGAGGTATTACAAAAACTTTAACATAAAATCTAAGTCAAAAAAGGGGCATATTTCTGTCAAAATGCTTGATAGAGTTACTTCCTCCTGTCTACAAGTTGGGGTCATGATGGTGAACAAGTGTGCAAAGTTTCAAAGCCATATGTCAATGGACTTGGAAAATATTTAAGGTATTACAAAAACTTTAACATAAATTCTAAGTCGAAAAAGGGGCATAATTCTGTCAAAATGCTTGATAGAGTTACCTCCTCTTGTCTACAGGTTGAGGTCATGATGGTGAACAAGTGTGCAAAGTTTCAAAGCCATATGTCAATGGACTTTGAAAATATTTGAACTATTACAAAAACTTTAACATAAGTGGTTACGCCGATGCAGACGCCGACACTGACGCCGACGCTCGGGTGACTGCAATAGTTCTACTTATTCTTATCGAATAGTGGAGCTAATAAGACAACTTTGACTATTACATGAGAATGTACAACATCATTCACCATTAATAAAACTATTTCTACATAATTTATATCATCAGCCACTTTAAAGTAATCAACTGCTTACCTCAAATAAACAACAATATAATCTGAAAGTCCTTGGTCATTATAGGTTTCTAATAATTCATCTAGTGAACACCTGTTTTCCACTTTAGTTACAACATCCATAAACTGAAATAAAAAGACATATTACCCAGTGTTCTTTATATGTATATTAACAATGTATCTTTAATGTGCACAGGTATACAGGAATTCAAAATAACTATGTGTGTGTTTTTAAGTTGCTTTTTAAAGATGCTATGTCTTTGTTTCTATTGTATTTTGGTTATAGATGGCAAATTACACTCACACAGTAAATATCGTTTGGCAACTTTCCAGCTGTTCTTGTAATAAGTATTATTTCATTACCCATATAATACATACAAACAATATGCATTTTTATCTTCAACATAATGACATACAATGTACATGTAGATAATCCCAGAAAATGAAAAACATTTGCTGTGTATATAATATGTACTTGCTATGTACAATTAGACAAGCAGAACATGTATATGTAAGACATAATGATGACAAAGCAAAGAGAGAGAGATCTTACAGTTTCATGGAAGTCTTCTATTGTAAACTCTGGGAAGCCTAGTGAGACCAGCTCAGCTTTACTCTGTTTTGCAACATCTCTGAACCTAAAACCAGTGACAACATTATAAACAAACTGTAAAACACATAAAAACTTAATTAAGTATGAATCGCCTTTTTATTGAAAGGAAAACAATAGCTGTAAATAAAACAATGTGCTTAACAGAGTAAAGTCAGGATTTAAGAAAAATAGAGAACAAATCTGTAGGATTGCTCTCCCATTATATAAATACAACATATATTTTTTGTTTGTTTTGGGTTTTACGTCACATAGACACAGTATAGGTCATATCGCGACGTTCCAGCTTTACTAGTGGAGGAAGACCCCAGGTGCCCTTCCGTGCATTATTTCAGGCACGAACGGGCACCTGAGTAGAACCACCGACGTTCAGTAAACTAGCTGGATAGCTTCCTCACATGAAAGAATCCAAAGTCCCTGTAGGGATTCGAACCCACAGCGGTGAGGGGCAAGTGGTTTGAAGTCAACGACCTTAACCACTCGGCCACAGACGCCCCTTACTACATATGTAGTGAAGTTAGAAACTGAATAAAAAAATTGTAAAAGAAACTCACAGTAAATACGACAGACAGAAACAATTTCAATATGTGTCTTAAAAAAAGACATCAAACAGTAATCTGTTAGTGGATAAAGAATGAACAACAAGAGATAATTCAGTATTTAACTTGCTATTCTTAATGACCACAGTTCTTTAAAGCTTTATGCTTCCCTTCTTTTTAAATCTGTTTTGAAAATGAGTTGAATATCAGTATAGGTACAGGCTGTCAAAAGACCTTTCTAAACTCAAAGGACAAGAGTTCTTTATATAAATTCAATATGGTAAGTGTTAAATTCAGCTGCAGTTTCACTATCTTTCACTAAAAAGTAGAAAGTACATTCTTGCAAGATATATGTGCCAGATATTAACCAAACTTAAATAATCATTAACGTTTTAAGATCCTGTATGTTGACTTGTAATTAAGGTTGTTACCACATACAAGAGAAATTTTATATATGTATATAATTATTCTTCTAAAACAATTTTCAAACATCGAAAAATATGTAAAATATGTACTGCAAATATTTGTCCACATTATATGTAATCATTAACATATATATGCATTCATTTCTTATTGAAAAATTTGACTTAAACTTTATAGAAAATAAATTTCTTATTACCTCCCTTTATTAACATAAAAATGTAAATTTGGTAATATCTTTACATATAATGTTTTTTGGAACCAACAGTATTGATAAATCTTCATTTGAGCATTATATTTATGATATAAAACCATAAAAAAATGCATTACAGGATCTTTAAGTTTGATCGCTACATAACTTCAGACAAAAATTAAGCTAAGGCCATCCTCATCAAGGAAATTATTTGAGTAAGATATAAAATTTAAACACAAAGATGGACAGTCATGGCTTGTAATTACATGAACATTACAATTATATAAAACACATACATGTACTTGACAAAAGGGTTCTATATTCTTTAAATGTATTTTTTGTTGTTGTTTTTTTAAATTTAACCAAATTAGAATAAATTCAGTTGACTTTTAAGGCCTAACTTAGTACAATAGGTACATTAACTCTTAATTCAATGAACTTGCCCACCTTTCTACTAGACAAAACCATTCATCACTTTTAATTTTTTAGGAAAATTTTTAAATGATTTTCTGAACAGAGCAGACCATGATTAGACGGTAAAAACGTGCCGGCCTATCTAAACAGCACTGGTTGCATTGGTAGAATCATTTGCTGATAGTAGGGTTAGAGTTAAAGAACATACCTTTCTAAATCTGTCCTGTCATTAAGAAGTTTTTCAAGGTAAGCAAAGCCAAATGCTCTAAAGAAACAGTTACCATCACCCCTTGTTTTCCTCACACATTGATATCTATTTTTCAAGTCCTAAAACATAAAATAAAATAGAAATATGAAATATGTTTAAAATCAATTCTATTTTCATTTATCATTTAATGTTTTGTTTTGGTTGGTTTTAATTTAAACAAGGATACTATATTCAATTGTTAATTTATCATTTGGATTAAAGGAAAAAGACCACACTGTTCCTACCTGCATAATCTTAATCAAAAGTATTAAGTATTTAGTATTTTCACATGAATTTTTTTACCCCTTTAAAGCTTTTATACACACAGAAGTGAGAAATTAATGATTAAACTGCAGTTTTTCATTTGATATAATACAAAAATATATTTGAAAAAAAATTGTAAATGTGATCATTGCAAAGTAAAGACTTGTCATATACATGTATAAGACTTACACAAAACACTCGGAATTATAATTGTTATTCATTACAATAACAACCTTTATTACCTCAGTATACTATGGTCAATAGTTTTAACACTGTAAGGTCAGTGACAGAGGATATGAAACCTGTGATAGTAATTAGCTTAAAAATCTGGACACAAGTTCATTATTATTAAAGGTGCTTGCTCAAATCTTGTTTCTTATGATGACTTAACATTTTTACGGATTCAGTTTGTTAATTTTATATAAGAAAACTTTTTTCCTTCACATGTACATAAAATTATGGCAACTGTTTTATTAAAAAGGATAAGTTCTCTGTAAAAGTAGATTTGTGTGTAGATATGTTTACTCAATTGCATCTTCTCCACTTTTTCTGTCAAACTTCGAATAAGGTCCCCGAACACAATAGTAAGAACACAAAGAATGGACAAGGTATTTTGGTCTAAGCTATGCTCAGAAACTTAACATGTTAACAAATAGTATTGTAAGTAAATGGAGGGAATTATTGACTAGCTTTATTTAAATATTCCTGAGTTAATGTTCACATTTACATCTGAAACCATGTAACAGAACTACCTTAAATGATATTTAGTCCAAGATTATTATGAATAATCACAGAGGTGATTTGATTGGTAGATTTGTTTTACAGTATAAGCATGCAGATTTATATAGAATACAGGCAATAACAAAACAATGTCTCAATAAAGTTGGACTGACCCAAAATGCAACTTTATGTTACCACCCCACACCAGAAATGGCCATATGAGTGAATATCATTCTCTTAAGAAGATTCGTGGTATTAAAAGATAGAAGGAAACTTATGAAAGGCTAATAAGCTATGAGCCATTGGTCTACAAGGCCTTGACAAAAATAAATGTTTCTACATTTGTCTGAGCTACGATAGTAAGAAATATAATGTAGCTGACATGTTACATAAGTAGAGCCTGATAAAATACAAGAACTTGTAAATGCCATCAACTTGTCAATTTTCTTTACAGATCAATTGCATGAAGTAATTGTTATTTTCAATAAGAGCTAAGTAATTGTTTTTTTCCAATTTTCAATAAGTCTTATTTAAGAGCTTAACTTATTTATATATCAACATGTAAAAAAGGCATTTTTTTTTTCTTTTCAATCCAAAAACTACAATAATGAATATAGGACAATTCTGATTTCAAGTCCATTATATAAATTGAGTGACGAATGTGAAAAGGTAATGATGCAACAGGGCTTCCTTTAATGGAAGTTTGGGAGTCATTTACTCCTTGATTTCGGCTTGTGACTTCCAAAATCTAATTTTATATAATATGACTTCCAATATCACAGATTTTGCAGTTTCTGACTTCCAAATTTATTGGAAGCCCTGATGCAACAAATGGGGAATCTTGTTTATCAACAAAACAGCAAGCAAACATTAAAGCATAAAACTGATGAAAAAGCTGATGAAAATCAGACATGAATCCCTCACAGTGTAGTAAGAACAACCTGTCTTTAGGGAGACTACCTTTAAAGCAATAAATGATTATTAACTTAAGTTTATTGTAAAAAAGATCTTGTTTGTATTGACAGAAATGACAACATAGCAATAAGTCATGATTAAGTGGTTCTAGATTAATTTTATATTAATCTGCTAGCGAGGGTTAATGGATGTTAAAAGAAGTACTCGTAGTAAGTTTCTGTTATTATTAAGTTGAATTTATTCCATTGAGCTTAACTTGCTATGAACAATTTGAATATTAACAATGTATTGTAGGCTACATAATTCATTTAGGTGTTTTAAAAACATCTAATAATTCAGGGTTGTCATTAAGAGGCGGCAGGAGGCCAAAATGCCTGTCTCAAATGCATTATGGGCCGCCTCAAAATTAAGAAAACACTCTTTGTTATGCATGATAAAGACAGAAATGACCGCCTCAAGTTCAAAACAAACCTTCTGCAAAAAATATTAATGACAACCCTGAATAATGTTAAAAAAATATAATTTCATGAAATGAAATGTAACTGCATTAAGTTACAACATTTAAATTTTTAAAGTACCTGCTGTATTTTTGTCCGGTAGATTTCATCTTCCTTAGCATATTCTTCACTAAGTGCATCAAAACTTACTCTATCACTGATCAATTTCTGATTGTCCACTATCTGCAATATAAGAATTACTCAACTGTAAACAGTAGTAACACTTAACCTACATAAAGGACTGCACATAGGTTTTTTGCCAAGTCAGGACTGGAAATTATTTTTCAAAACTTTTATACCAATTGAATGAATTGATGTACATGTAGGCTAATACTATTTTTGTGTGCAAAATTTCATATAATTTGCTCACGCCTTATTCCAATATCATCACTTTTACTGTGCAAAATCACCAAAAAATCAACAACTATTTATGCCTTTAACTAAAATCTGGCTAAAATTATTATACCTATTAATATTGATTTTTAACAAATTCGTAATAAATTCATTATCTTTTTCATATTTTTCTGTTAACTTTAATCTTTCTGTTTTGTAAGATTTTCAAATTTTATGTTTTTGGTGTTTTTTTCTTTTATCACAGTGGAGCTCCATTTCTATAATTGATTTGCCTAGCTATTTAAAACAGTTCATTTGAAGATTATGCATAGCAGAAATTTTCTTATCTATTGAAAACAAATGCATTCCAATTTGATTAACTGCTCAATGTACATTTACATTCCAAATTAAGTATTTACCATCAATCAAGTAAGAGCATTACACAAAATGTATTTTAATAATTAATTATTTAATATCCGTTATAGTTAAACTTTATTTATAAATGATATTACCTCTTTTTCCATCTCCCGTAACTGTGCCATAGTGGCCTCATCATAATTTTTATCTGAAAAAAAAAAATTCAAAATTTGCCCTTTTCTCATATTTAACAGCCTATAGCACCAAGCATAACTAAATTTCAATATCAATATGTTGATTTTAATTGTAAATTAATGTTTCTAAATCATAGTTGGTTTCATGTTTATGAAAAAGTCTGTTCTTATTAACAAATCACTGATGAAAAGTTCATCCAAATATGTTTTTTTTTTAAACTCTAATGACTATCCTAAATGTTTCTCATATATTAGAATGGCATGACTGTATCAGAGATTGCTGCTTGCACCGATAAACATATCTACATTGTAGCATTGATTTACCATTTTATTTACGTCTGAAGATTATAATTCAAATTGAGACAAAAGCGGATAAAAAAATTGTCTTTAAAATATCAGTTTCTTTAAAATATCAGTTCATAAAGCCATATATCTTCTATGAGAGTGCATTTTAAACAATCTATGAAGATTTATCTAAGTTGTACAAAATGATTTTAAGTGATATATAATTATGTAGAGTAATTTTAACTGTTCACCTAGTGATATGCAATTAATTTAAGTCCCCAATAATATCTGCCGGCACCTAGCTAGCTCATCCTGAATTCAAAGGTCAGTATTTATAATTAAAAATTATCTTTGTACTGTTTACAGTTTAGAGTTACCATGTATTCTTTGTTCATTATGTCTTAAATGGGTATTTTGGCAATTTGCTGTGTATCAAGCCAAAAAATACTAGTCTATAAAATTTTACATGTACATAAAGTTTATTGACATGTTATGGAAACATCATCCATCATCCATGCCAGATTAATATGAATAAACAGAAGAAGTATTTACATAAATTTCAACTGCATGCTTTTCTCCATACATTATATAGACTTAAAAAAGATATATGAGCTGTGTCATGACAAAACCAACATAATGGGTTTGCGACCAGCATGGATCCAGACCAGCCTGCGCATCCGCGCAGTCTGATCAGGATCCATGCTGTTAGCTTACCAACTCTATTACAAGTAGAGAAACTGATAGCGAACAGCATGGATCCTGATCAGACTGCGCAGATGCACAGGCTGGTCTGGATCCATGCTGGTCGCAAACCCATTATGTTGGTTTTGTCGTGACACGGCTAATATCATCTTGTTTCTATTACTTTATATATGTGATATATCCACGAATGGCCATGATACTTTAGAAGCATTTTCACTCTTGCAGTGCTAGTTTGCTACTTAACTTCTTAAGTGATATTAAGTCGCAATATTTTGACTGCAAGACCCACTGATTTTAAATAAAAACATTTGACAAGACTTTGTGGCATGCAGGTTAACAAAAATGGTGTTGCCTGTATAACTGGGAGAATTTAGGGCAAACAATATTTTTTAATTAATTTAATTTTTATTGTTTTTCAAACTTATAAGTGTTCTCGACTGTTTGTTCCTTTTTTTTTATTTAGTTTGTACATCACATTGACACAGTAAAAGTAATATATATATGGCATTTATTATGTTCCAGCTTTATTGGTGGAGGATTGAGACATCAGATGCCCTTCTATATTTTTTCAGGCACAAATCAACCTAAGTAGAACCACCAACGTTCCGTAAGCTAGCTGGATTATGAGCTAGACCCACAGCGGTGAGGGCAAATAGTTTGAAGTCAACGACTTTAAATAAAACACACGGCCACTGACTCGTCCCTCTCAACTGTTTTTCAAACTAAATTGATATACCAGGGGCATTTTCTAATAATAATAGATAGATAGATAATTCTGAGCCATCTCGTGGAATCTAAGCCATTGAAATATATTACTGTATATCTTGTATTTCAATTAAATACAAGCAACTTATTTTAAAAGTAGAATAGAGGCACTGGTGAATCTAGACTTTACCTGGAATCACCACAAGGGTGTATGATTTGATATAAAAATAACTATTTTTGGAAACGAGGAAAGGTTAATAACAATAATCTGAAAGTTGCTAAAAAGCATAGAAGTGTTACTGAATCCAACCACAAGTTTGATACATGTTCGTAAAAATCCATAAGTAACAATGTATCATTCAGACCCTTTACCTAGAGATAAAAAATTGTGACTTGTGTAAGAGTACCTCTTATTTTATTTTTTATGACAAAAGTGTGCTCTTTTATGCAATTTTATGATCTCATTTTATTTATATGATTTATATATGTTATCTCTTAACTGTATGATTTTATATTTTGTATCATGTGCTATGTTCCTAAAATGTATAAATAAAAAATAAATAAAAGTATTTCGTTGATTTGTTGTGGTTCGAAAAATAACTGGTACGAATAAAACTTTAATAATTTCACAATGTGTCACGACGGATGACTTAATCACATAGTTCTGTTATCGTTCTCATACAAACTTTAATCCGAATCCCTTTTGATATAATGCGTAACGATTCAATTTTGTACTCAATCAGTAATTTTATAATTCAATCTTACTTGGGTCGAACACGAACTCTTCAGCCATTTTTCTATTAGAGTTTGCGCACGCGCGAAATGACGTCATAAATTCGTCTGACTTATCAATATGGATGTCAACACAAACCAAAAAATAGACAAAAAAAACAACATGTCATAAATATGCTAGAGTATAAAACATGTTAAGTCTCCAACCGATACAGGGTAAGTCAGTAAAGACAATGAAGGTTACAAAATATTTATAATGCCATAATTTTAAGGATGCAAAATCAATGTTTTCTATTGGAAAAGTGAATGAGAAACTCAGAAAGTAACATGAATATTTCCCCTAATTGATAGCAAATCTTGCTCGATATATATTGTAATGAAAGTGGGAAATGATAATTTAGATCTTTAAAAGGTGTATCGTTTTTTTTTGTTTCAAAACCCGAATGAATTGATGAAAATGATATCGGTGAATTTTTTGGAGTTTTTGAATCCCAGACAAGTAAAAGAAAAGACAAGTAGAATCTAAAAGAAAAGAAGTCTAAAAAAACTCCTTCATCTTAACACATGATTTGCATTGTCTGATTTTTTTGTAATTACTCCAAATTTTTATGAACAGATTGTTGATATTATTACTTAACATGAAAGGTCAAAGGATACTACAACTGTCTGAACATAAAACAAATTAATGTCAATCAATTTGACTATTTATTTTTAAACTCAGTATCTGGAGCAGGATCTGTGTCTACAACAGGCAGCAGTGACAATGATGAGACATCGAAGCTCAAGAAGATGAAGCCTCATGTACCTGGTATTGTAATATTTGCTGATCATAATCGCCCTCTGCCATGGTCTGTCACTTATCACGCTGTCACCCTGTTTGCAGATATTTCAGGTATTTTCCAAATTTCAGCTAAATGTTATTTTTGGTTCAGGAAGAACAAAAACTTATTTACCATTCTACATTGTAAATCAGGGCTTTTTCACAAGTGTGGGATGGGGTCCTAGTCCTACTTTAAATCTGGAGAAAATAACACAGTATTTTTGCAAAAGCCTGAAAAAGGGAAGAGAACATTTTAAGGGAAGCAGCCTATAAAGAGCCCCTGCTAAAGGATGAAAGCTGTTGTTTCCTTGAGCAAGAAACTTGTATGTAATGAAACTAAAATTTATTCTGTTTAATTAGAATAAACTAAAGATTACATTTGTTTTGAAATTGATGACATAAGTTATTTTATTTGAAGGATTTACTGCATTGTGTGAAAAATATAGTACAATGGGACAGTCAGGTGTGGATCAGTTGACAAGAACATTGAATGAATATTTAAGTGTTCTTGTGGAAGGCATATTAGGGTCAGATGGTGACATTCTAAAGTTTGCAGGTAATGCTTAATTTTAAATTAGCACATACAATGTACTTATAATTAATTTTGCTAGATTTTGATTTCCTTAAAAGTCTTTTAATTTAAACTGAATTTTAGTAGGCACTACATATATTTCCTTTTGCTATTTCTACATAATTATGACTAAAAGGTGCAGCATATATTCCATTTGTATTTTAGATAAATCCTGGCTAGTAGGTGTTGCATACATTTACTCAAGTAATTCTACTGAGTGCAACATGTTCCTTTTCAATGTCTGCTAAATCCTGAATAATAAGTTGTTAATTGTGCAACCATTGCACATATATTCATTCTTAATTTCTGGTATAAAAATCACAAATTGTAGTTGTAACTTGTTACACGTATTCAGTTGTAAAATATTGTAAAACCTGAAAGAAGATGCAACACAATATAATTTCCTTTTTAATATCTTCTAAAACGTTGTACATTTACTCAAAACGCTTGAGAAAGATGAATTTTGATGAAAGTGATGTAAATTTTCATAACAAACATTTTACTAAAAGAAATAGATATAATTTTGAATTTGATTGCATCTGTCTTAATAAATTAAAAAAGACTTTATACTTTAAAGGTGATGCTATTCTTGCTATATGGAGAGTTGGGAGAGTTGAAGAGCTTGAAGCTGAAGTAGAGAAAGTAGTAAGATGTTGTCTTGAAATACAAGATAAGTGTGGAGAATGGGACACCGATATTGGTGTGAAACTAACTGTCAAAATAGGTAAGTGTGTCTCAAACCTCAGGTGCCCCAGCAGAAATAATGACAGGCCTATGGCCTATACACCATCCTGCACTTTCATTCAATCTCATTAGACTTTATTATTTAAGCATTTTGAAATGATGTTACCTTACAATCAACAATTAAGACTTAAAGCAGGACAAGCCAATTATATAAATTGATAGTGTAAAAGATTTATAAAAGCTTATGAAGTTTTGCTTACGAAATTAAAGTCTGAATAAAAAAAATTAAACACAATTTTGATAAGATCTTCACTTACCAATAAATTAGCTGATAGAATCTTACCTTTCTACCAGGTGTTGCTGCTGGTGAGATGTCCATCACATTTCTTGGCAATCGTGAATATAGACACTATGTTGAGTTAGGGCCAGCTATTTCTGCAGTAAACACAGCTGAACATTTCTGTCAGTCTGGAATGATTGTCATATCACCTGATACATGGGAACATTGTAACCAAGCTAACTTTCAGCTAGAGCCAATGGAGGATTTGAAGCATATGAGAGTAAGTACAGTTTTGGCTTTTAACATTTACTATTTTTCTTTAATTTAAGACTTAATGAATTTAACTTTGATTTTTAATACATATAATGATATGTGTATCAATGAATTATCAAAATGTTATAAATCAGATGTGTGGGTTTTTGTTCTTGTTGCTTTTTTCCCTTTTTTTGTTGTATCTGTTTTCAAGGATTCTTTTTGAACTCATATTTTATATTAAACAAAATGCATTTATTAAGGTTTTATGAATGATTTTTCTTTTCAGTCAAACTGTTTTCTTTTTTGTCTGCTATTGACTAGGACTTTTTATTATATTTTTTTTACGAAGGTTACAGGAGTTGCTAAAGCAAAGCAAATTAGAAGCTATAGTTTACCAGCCCCACAACTGCATCAACAATTTGAAGGTATTGTTATATTGTTAGCAGAAAAAATGAGTTGCTTATGCCACCAATGGGAGAATGCTTGCCTTAGCAATCAGACAAGACTGTCTTATTTTTTTCTTTCTTTTTTTTTGCTGAATTTTAGCTTTTTTATTTTAAGGTAGTACACCCCTAATGGGCACTATAAGGAATTGTAAATTTGACAACATAGGACAGTTACATGCCTTAAATGTCACCTGTATGCAAAATTTAAATAAAATTTACCGTGTGGTTTATGAGTTATGGACATTTTTATGAACTAAAACTTTGCCATTAGAAGGGATTTTTTCAGAAATGAGGAAACTCTTAATAATCTATAATATCATCATTATGAAAAGTGTTTTCCTTTCGCTCATTGTTAAGAAATAAACAATGACATATAGGTAACAAATTAAACAAGCAAAATGATTGTTTTTAAACGAAATGTTTTTAATATGTATAAAAATGTAACCCTACCCCACCCACTTTTAACACTAATTTGACCATTTCCCTATGTAAAAAGCCTTATTTAAAATATCCCTAAAATTTTCCAAAATGAGGGGCTATTTTCAAAGTTTGCCTAAATTTTCTTTAATGTATATTGGTTGGTCTTGCAAAATTTAAAATACTTTTACCGTTTAGTTTTTATTTTATTAAACTTTGAAAATATCTGGTATCATACTTGCAATTAAATTTGGCATTATTTAGTAAATAAATACCTACAATAATTATATAATTAAAATGAAACACTTTTTTCTTCCATAGGGGGTCTGAGAGATTAATAAAAAATGTTAAAAAGAAAAAAAAGAAAGAAAAAAAATTGCCCCTTCTGGGGCTTGAACCCACGCCCCCTCAGTTTCAATACACTTTACAGTGATTTTAGCCTATTTGAATACTCTTCAAAGTGGAGACAGTGCATTAGGGGTGTACTACCTTAAGATCTCACACATTTACAACAGACAGTTCAGAATTGAAATCTGGACATGTGCGTGATATGAATACAAAATGTACACAGGATGTAAAAAAGTTAAAGAGTAAAATTGATCTTTTTTTATACCATTGTTTAATGTTAACTTTTAATTTATTGAAGTTCCAAACACCTGACTTAAATGCTGGCATAAATCAACAGCACCATACTCTCTGTTTATGCTCAAGTAAAATTATTAGGACATGGATTGTTTAGATATTTTCAAATTCAATAAAAAGTACTATTACCTACATTTCAATAATATACTAAAATTAAAAAATGTAGATATTGAATAATCAATTCGCCATCTTAGTGCAGTTACATGTTATTTCCTATTAAATTATATAAGAAGTTAACCCATTACTGCACTAAATGATGAAATCTAGTTCTTTTTCTTTCACAAAGATATGACACAAAGACGGCAATCTGATGAACTTACTGTTGATGATTTAAAAACTATAAGAAAAGTTCACATGGAGAGATTGGAGAAATTACCTACAATTGAATCTAACATGTCCTCATTGCCCCTGAAACCTATACCCTCCATAAAACTGACTGAAGTGGAAGAAAATAATCAAAGTGAAGAAAGTGACACATTCAGACCACAGAAAGATATGAAATCTTTGGTGCAAACTAAAATGCAAGTTGGATCAAAGTTTGGGAAATGTAAGTCTTAAATGCTTATAAAAATACAATGTATTATATATTATCTTAAGACATTCATGTAAGCGCTACATTGTTATGTTACCATGTAAAGTGAAGTCAGCAAAATCTCATTTAAATTTCAAAATAGATTGAAATCTAATTGAAAATTACATGACTTATATTCATGCTTTTAGAAAAATAAAAAATAATTTCAAAAAGCGTTAAATGGAAAATACTTAACTTCATATTATACTGTTTTACAAATTTTTGCTTATTGCAGCTATGACAATTACACATGACTAATAATACATAATACATATACAAGTGTGTTTGATTTTGTAGTAAAGAAGCTTGTCACCACAGTTACAGAGATGAAGCTAGATATAGCTTTAAGGTTATACATTCTTAGTCCAGTTCTAAAAAAGGTATAAGTTTTATTTTAATTAAAAAAAATTGACAGTTTTCAGAACACAACATCATTGACAATAATTTTCTGATGACGACCACTGATAATTTTAAAAAACATGGACATTTTTGAAATTGAAATTTGGTACAAATTATACTTTCCATGCATCTTTAAATTTTTATAATTTCTTTTTTTATTCTTTTTTTCCACTATAATGTACGTGTATATCTTCTACATTGTATTGAAAGAAAATAAGTTTCCCAGGGATAGCTCTTCATCCTCAGAAAATATGTATAATATTATTTAAGTTAGCACTTGATTTGCATAATAATTTAAAACTTTATTTTAAGTTTAGAAGTTTATTGTTCAGTGACACATAAGTTTGAGTTTTGCATTTTCAAAGACAAAGGGGAGATTGAAAAAAAAATTGTAGTAATTTGTAAATTAATTTTTAGTGAATACTTTTTCAAAAAATTCCAACAGTATTAATGCTATTTATAGTTTAACCTTTTACCTCATGAGCATATTGCGAAAAATGGCCAAACACGCTTATATAAGGGAAAAGGTTAAAGCATACTTTATCATTATTACAGATTGATGATAATCAGCCGTTGGAGTATTTATCAGAGATGAGACAAGTGTCCATCTTATTTATGAACCTTGTCCTAGATGAAAATGTGCAAAAAGATACTGAGCAAAATGAACACTTGCTGCAAAAGATATTTGAGCTGGTGTACATGAAAACAAAGGCCATGCATGGTATAAATAATATTTTTAAATATTGTGAACCAATAAACAAATGCATTCTCTATATTTTTGCATTATTCAACTCAATTTAAATTATGTAAATATTCAAAATTTTCTAATCTTTTCCTTTTAAATTATAGCTGTTGAATTTTGATATTAATGCTATTTAATTAAATCTTCTCCTGTTACCTCTGCCCTGAATTTCCAGAATTGATTAGTTTATCTTTCAATAGGAACCTGTTTAATGTCAATTATTAGGACATAAAAATAAAAATTTGCAAGTTGTTCAGCCAGCAGTATAGAGCCTGGTCAGACTGCATGGATGCACAAGCTGGCCTAGATCTATATTAGTGGCAATGCTGTGCAGGTTTAATTTCAGCATAAAAAGGTGCTAGTGTATTTATATTATGCAAATGCATGCAAATTTAATGTTTTCCTGTTAGTGAAGGTTTGCTATCTCTTTCATCATTTTAATTCAGTTTGAACATTATGATTATTTATTTACAGGAGCACTAAACAAAGTTTTCCTGTTTGACAAGGTAATGTACAATTTTATGTGTTTGCAAAATAACACTTTAATAAATTATTCTGTACCTTACTTGCCTTTTATTTAGTGAACAGCCATCCATGCACAAATATATTCCATGATATTCATGCATATTTGAAACTCACATATTTGTACTGGTTATGTTCAAATGCAAAACTTAAAAAATAGATTAAAACATATTAAAAGTTTTGGAATGAACCAGTTAGTCAAATAATTATGGAAGTGCTATGTTTTCTTTTCTGGAACTCATTTTAGATAGGTTCTTTAAAGCACAAACTCTTTTTTATGTAGGGTTGTACATTTTTGGTAATATTTGGATTACCTGGGTACAAACATGAAAATGACTGTGCCCATGCTCTTACTTGCTCAGGAAGAATGAAATGCCAGCTTGACAATACAGAAGGTGTAGAGTAAGTTGCATGTTTGAAACATTTAGTTACCATTTTGAAGGCCAGCCTCTATGTTCAAAATCTTGTGCACATGTGGACACATTTTTAATCCATTTTCATTATTATTTCATTATTTGTTAAACTTTGTTTGATGTGAGATGTATTTTGGACAAAACAGGGTATTTTCACCTTATCATCAGGGGCAAAAGTAAAGGCCAAATTCGCAATCCAAATTGGTTTCTTTTTTTCTTCAAAATTTCAATTAAAAAAAGAGTAAAATCCCAATAGCAGCCAAAAAGATCAAACTATTTAAACTTGAAACTGTTTTGATTTCTGTCTTGAAAGATGTGACAGAAATGTGATCATACACATGCTAAAAAAACTCATGTGTAAGGTAGATTTTCAACTTCTTAAACTGTCTCAAATTTCCCAATATGCCTAAAAAAATCCAATTTATGCCAGGGACCTTTCCCCAAAATAGCTGGAAAAGGCCCTGCAAAGATTATTAATAACTTTATGTTAAAAATGTTGCACACAAATTTAAGAAAATGCAACCAAATATTCAAAACTTTCTTACAAATCTAAGATATTGCTGAATTGTTAAAGGATATAACTGTTACATTTATTTCACCTATATTTCCTATTGTAAAACATGCCTTGCCTGAAAATATGATAGGTATGATTGGGTATACAATCTTTTAACTTTTAATTGAGTACCTACGTTTTGTCTAAAAAAAACCCCAAAGATTCGAACAACTAGTGAACAAATTTGGTGTGACAAATTTTATTCAGTCTGATTTACAATTCAGGTTAGACTGACAAAAATATGATGTCAGATAAGTTATCTAGTTGTTTTGCTTTGCCTTTTATATATTTTTTTTATATTTTCAGAAGAGTTTCAATAGGTGTGACCACTGGAACAACATTTTGCGGAGTAGTTGGACATAATCAAAGACATGAATATTCTGGTTAGTAAATATAGAAATGGTTTCAATTGTATTGCCTTTGCTGTCAAGATATATAAACTAAGGAATTCTGTCTAGATCCTATGCATGCCTTAGTAGAATAACATTTTATGAATAAAAATGCTAATTGATATTTGTCACAGACACATTACGTTTTATACATTGTATCATAATTTATTTTAATTTCCTTTACTACTTAGAAAATTCGTAATAGTGTATACAATAGAATTTTGTTTTTATAGACAGCTTAATTAGCTGTTACTTTGTTAACAATTTATTTGAAAATGAAAAAATGATTTGTGTTTTATTTTTGTGTTTTCTTTGTATTTTTTTGGGTCAAAATTCAGTGATTGGACGTAAGGTAAACATGGCTGCACGATTGATGATGCATTATCCAGACAAAATAACCTGTGACACAGATACATACCAAACATGTAGATTACCACCATCATTTTTTGAAGTTTTAATGACAAAGAGAATGAAGGGCCTTCGGAATATTGGAGTTATAAGACAGTTTATTGGTTATTCAAAGGATGAAAAGATGGTTGCAAAAAGTGTCATGCATACAGATTATCCCATTCTAGGTAAAATTTTAACAAATTTAATTCTTTATAGTGTCTGTAGCACAAATTTTAAGATATACAAAAATATAGAAGTAATCTATACCTTGCTAAATATCTTTGAATCTGGATGAATCCATTAATAATTTTAAGGCACAATTTCAAGGTGAAATTAGTGCAGATGATGATCAAACAGCAAGAATGTGCTGTGCTGACTGATACTAGCCTGCACCAGCTGGTTGTATGGGTAATGATAACACAAAGTGTTAATATATGAATTAAATTGTATGAAGTGCTGCCAATAGGAAAAGGGTTAATAAACATTTTTCTTTTTTATAATTTAATTTCATGTAAGTTTTTTTAATTGGTTAATACACGCAATTGTAAAACAAAAGTTTTCTTATATTTTTGTTGCAACCATGTCATTGGCTAGTGCTTAAACTGTAAAAGCTTAAGATGTTTCTTCTAAAGGTCATTTAATGTCATTTACCATTTTATTCAGGTAGGCAAATGGAAGAATTCATATTTAGAGAACAGTTGAAGGTTATGCAAAAAGATGAGAATAAGAGGCGTCATTTGGTCTTCAGTGGACCATCTGGTATAGGCAAAACAAAAATTCTAGATCAAGCACTTCTTACAGCTCTTCAAGAAGCATTTAAGTATGAAATTTTTATTTGTTTATAAGTAATGAGTTGTGTAAGTAAACAAATTTGAAATTTATACAATCCTACTATAAAATTGTTGTTTATATGTTGTTGCACTATGGTCTCACAGTTTATTATATCATAGAGCATTGAAATTATAAGGTGAAGAAATGTATAATGAGTACTTATGTGAAAGAAAAGAAATGCAATATTTTATAAACATTGGTATACACGTCAAGAATATTCTTTAAAGGGTTGTTAATGAGTAAACATGGTAATTTCATTTGAATCTGGAGCTTAAAATTCAGTTTGTACACCAAAATAGTCTCTGATGATTACAAAAAATCATGCAAAAATTTATAATGTATTCATGTCTGAATAACTTGCTTTTATCCCTTTCTTGCTAACAATACATCTATTCAGGCATTTTATTACTTGATACACCTCTCAATATATTACAGCATTATTATGCTAATTATAAATCCATGCCAGTACATGTATATAAGATAATATATTTTTCAATTCCAGTACAGTATCATGTCGTGTTGAGTTGGAAGACAGCAGTTACCCACACTTTGTGTCAAACCACATATTACGAAGTTTGCTGAGTAACAGAGGTTACTCAGACAAAATTGAAAAAGAACCATATCTGCTAGATGCTATTGGAGATGAAAGTGTTTATCTCTATGTCTTAAATGATGTACTTGGGACACAGGTGCAGACTTTTGTTTTAATTTCTGTAATAAGAATAAAATATACATGTGCATGTATATATGTATATTCTAAAGTAATGGCATTTAAACTTGTGCAAATGCATGGAAAAATCTGCTTTTGACTGTATATTCAACATAACATTTAATTTTCAATTGCATCAGGAACTATTTTTTTATACTGTAATCATAAATTAATCATATCTAGTATTTGTTAAAAACTAAACTAGACAAATTAGCAAAATATTAAATTGAATGAAAACACACTTTCAACTTAATCCAGAAGATGATATTTGTGTGACTAAATCATATATAACATATAAAATACATTATGCTCTTCTAAACAAAATGTGTTTATTTTAGATTGAGAAACCTGTTTCCCTAGTTGGTGAAAAGGTAGATGAAAAAGCAAAACGGCGTTCACTTTTTAAAAGAATTGCACATGAGGTATAACATTTCCTGTATTTAGTGCTAAAAACTACTGATTGCTTTAATTAATATTGAATATTTCCTTAATTTTAATTGATCAGGTGCTTTATAGATAGAGCTTTAAGATAGATTTTGAACCTAGAAATTTCATTGTCATAAACATTTCCTTGTATTACATTTGTATTATGCTCAAAGCTAGTCAAATTTAATTATTGTATTGCCATTTAAAAAGGTAGAAATAACAACAAGTTGACGGTCTTAAATATTTAAAAATATGTTAGTCTTTAAGTCTATTTCTTTTTTTTCCTGCTTTTGTTTGGTGATGATTATTTGGGTTTTAATTATGCTGTGACACCCATTTGTTTAATTTGATTTTTTCTCAAAAGGCCCTTTAAAAAAACAGCTTGTATTTTCCTAATTGTTGTATGTATGTGAAACACAGCAATAGTAAGAAAATTGTTTAAGTGAATTATTGAATTCTATATTGCTGAACTATATTACCTTATAATATGTTTGTATGATTATAGTGTTTTGATACTGATGGGACTGTAGTTGTCATAGATGATGCACACAACATTGACACATTTTCATGGGCATTAATATGTGAGCTACTGCCTTTAAAAAATTGCCTTATAGTTATGAGTATAAGGCCAAATATTCTGGATGTTCCTTCATGTCCGGAAGCACTGTATTTCTTTGAACATTCTGAGGTGAAACTTCTTGACATGCGTGCACTGGATCCGAAATATGTAGCCCCACTAGCTTGCCAAATGATGAATGTTTGCAGTATACCAAGGGATCTAGATAGGTAGGCAATGTGATTTTGAATTAACTATCAAGTAAGCATTTAAATTTCACCAATTGTTCCATATTACCATTGGATTATTTTTTCAAGATGATTGTGTGAGGTTTACTTTTTTGTAACCTACACGTTTATAAATAAATACATGGTTAAAATAAAGTAACATGATTTTTAGTTTGTGTTCAGTTATCTTCAAACAAGCTAAATACATGGTTAAAATAAAGTAACATGATTTTTAGTTTGTGTTCAGTTATCTTCAAACAAGCTAAATACATGGTTAAAATAAAGTAACATGATTTTTAGTTTGTGTTCAGTTATCTTCAAACAAGCTAAATACATGGTTAAAATAAAGTAACATGATTTTTAGTTTGTGTTCAGTTATCTTCAAGCAAGCCTTTAACCCATTTTAAGTGTTGACCTTTGTTTAACATTCTTTGATATTCAGTTACTGTTACTCTATTACTGTTACTTGTTACAAACATATATATTTTTTGCTTCGGTGCTTTGATACTATATATGACATGTGTTTTGTGTTTTTTAGAATTTTACGAGAACAAAGTCATGGAGTGCCATCATGGTGCCTAGAGATATTGAGAGACATGCTTGAAAATTATCAGTTAATCATAGTAAATGATGACGGAAGTTCAGAATACAAACATGATGTCATTGCTCCACATAGGTCACTTATTACAACATCAGCAGCGATGCACATGTTGAATGTTCCTAGTGAGGCAAGGATTCATCAGCTACAAACTTTCTCTGTTACAGAGGTAAACTTATTTCATTTAGACAGATTGAGTCAGTTTGAGTGACTTATTACAATGAATTTAGAATTAAATTAAATTTTCTTAGCTGAAATGAACTCCCAAAATTAAAAAAAAGTATTTTTCTTCATATATTATAATAAATAATAGCTTAGTTCAAAACTTTGTATTGTTAATTTATTTCAAAAAATGTATTATGACTTTAAGATGAACCTTCTTTTTCTTGTCCTTTTATCATTTTTATAACAGAAGTTTCTTTAAGAGTCTTTGATTTATCATTCCACTTTTATTGTTGTGTTTTGAAATAGTTTTTTAATGCTTTATATGCTATGGTATGTTTTATTTTAAATATCAAAAATGAAGAGTAAGAAAACATTGATGATGTATTTGCAGAAACATGTACAACATGTTTCAGATTTTCTTCTTAAGAAAAAACAATCATGGTTACAAATGCTTTCATTTTCTCATCCTCTAGTTAACAGATGATGATAATCCACCACCTCCTGAAAAAGCTATTTTACCACATCTAGACATTGATAGTGTACCTCAGCCTAAACGAAGGGGTTCACTAAGGGTACCATCCATAGAACTCCTCAGCAGTAGACAAAGCAGCCAAACAGCAATGACTAGGATAGCCCGTTTTGCTAAAAATATTGATTCTAGTAATTTACCTGTACCTGTTTCCATGAAAGGTATGGACCAAGTTTAAATATTTGTCATTAAACAGTTGTTTTTTAGGATATAATTACACCTATTTAGAAATCTTGTCATTATTTTTTCTCTTTTCAAGTTTCTTTGTTTTTCATACAGCTGTTCAATAACATGTTTTACATTTCACAGTTTTAAAAACTGTACTAAACACTGAAGCTGACAAAGGTATAATGGTAAAACTAACATAAATTAGCCACCATCGTAACTCGTATAATATAAGTGATAAGTTTAAGCATAAAATTTCCAATTATTTTTTATTGATTATTTGATAAGAGTTCAGCTTTATAAATAAATCAGGATTTATTATTAAATGTTAACTATTGTGTCTATTGGTAGAACTTATTGTAGCACGGATTGATTCAATGAGAGCAACAGATCAGTTGATGATCAAGTGTGCTGCAGTTCTTGGTAAAGTTGTACGCCGTGATATTCTTGAAATCCTATTACCAAAGGCCCATCGCCCTAAACTTGCTGGGACCATTCACAGACTTATGGAAAGCGGTATTTTTACCTGCTCCAAATCTCCAACATCTCAAATGGCAGTCCGAGGTGTACAGGATGAACTCAAAGTACAACAGAACAAATGTTTTTGCCATAGAAGTGCATCAGAAATGTCTACAATGGAAACAAACTCATGCTATGAACCAATGTTCACACACCCGTTATTGCAAGAAACTGCATACGAAGTGCTGATGGAATCACAGAGAAATGAGTTGCATACAAAGGCAGCACAGTATCTAGAACTTTCAGCCGATGAGCTGAGGGGACATATACCATACTATGTGTTATTTAGACCACCAGCAGATGACCTTGAAGAGCAAGCAAAAATGATTGAACTTAAACTTGCTGGTTTGTAGTATTCTCTTTATACTTATATCTTTTATTCAATGCCATCACAAAAAAGTACAATATTTGTGTGATGCATTTGGCTTATTTTGTTTTAGATTTGGTTTTATTCGTTGTTTCTTTAAGAGGGTTTCGGTATCATCAGACTATAATGATATGTGCTGCATATTGACTAGAGGCTATCACAACTATACTATTTGAACAGATTAACATAAAGTGTCCTCTTTCTATTTAATTTTATCCAACTGTTCTTAGATGTTGACGCTGTAATATCTGTAAGAAGAAAAGGCCTTCAAGAAATGGAAACGGAAACTAGAACTTTTACATATGATGCTATTCAATCAAAGTCAAAGCGAGGGCGTAGGCAGGCAGTATTTGTATCATCTAAGTAAGAGATATGATATTACATTTGTATAGCTTCTGTATATGTGTTTACAAAATAAATGCTAACGGTTGCTGTTCCATTGATATGTTTTATGTCTTTTCCACTCAAATCATATTTATGGTTAATTGTTAATTTATAATGTTCAACATTTTTTATTTACAAAAATTTTTGAAGATTGGATGTATTTTTTTCTACCAATAGATACTGTTATATGATATATCCCTGTTTTTATATTCTTTTGTTCACTAAACCTGTAATTTATATTCAATAACTATTCATATATGCTAGAGATTTCACAAATAGAAACATATTTTCAAAGAAACAATTCATATTTCATTAAAAGATCCACATACTATGTCTATAAGTTATCAAATTTAATTTTCTCTTGTTCAGGGAAGCTTTTCAGCTTATAGGTGAGATTGCAGAGGGTGGCACACCTCTTGAGCCCATACATGTATATATCCGAAAGTTGATGCCAATCTATGAATCTTTGATTCATCATTTGAGATGTATCAACAAGACAAAGAAGGCTCTGTTCATACTAGCTGAAGCTATTGCTGCAGCCCTGGTTATTGATTGTACGGATCAGGTATTACATTATCTATCAAAAAAGTTAACTTAGATATTAATATGTGTTTTAGATATTAAAAAGACTGAAGTTTTTTTTATTTTCTTTAAGTATTATAAATGTAGATCCATAATGGTTTAAAATATCCCATGATCATTTTAAATCAGAGGTAAAAGTAAATATTGTAATATTTTCACATGTTAAAATCAACTTGCATTGCATTTTATTTTAAAGAAGCTAGATTAAGTAAGAAGGAAATGAAACTTTTCGATACAAATGCAATAAGTGATTCATATTCTTTGCAACCATAGAAGAAGTAAAAATCTGAAAACAATTTTTTTAGAGTATATGAAATAAAACATACAAGTTTTGTGGAACTGCTATTAAGTTTAATGAAACCCACTTCATAATTTTCTATTTTAGGCTGTAGAGTTTGTTCATATTGCTCTTGACATGCTGGATATGATCAAGAAAGACACTCCACGACTTGACAAGAACCAAAAAATGATTTTTGCAAGGATAAACAGACTTCATGCAAAAGCAAGTAGCTCTTGTACTGTTTTGAATGAATTGATTCAATTTAAATACAACTTAACGTAAACATTGGTTTTCACAAGCGTAGAAAAATGATAAGACACCCAAGATACTACAATCAAAGCAGTTTTCTAGGTTTTGTATTTGATTTACATAAATTGCCAATTAGATATTAATATTCCCACAAGCTTTAAATACAAAAAGAGAAATGCTAAAATCAAATATTCTAAAGACTTTGTAGGAAGATTTTTCAACAGATCATTTTAAGTTTTGCCTATATAGGTAAAGAAAAATAATTATGATTTTTATTTGATGCAGATTCTGTATCATCTAGGAGATGTAAAGAACGCTTACAGACAAATCCCAGTTGCTGCTGCATTCTTAGGACTCAGAGAATCTAAGCAACCTACCTCCTCACTTTTTAGAAATTTATGGCTTATCATCAAATTTAACTACTGTTTAAGATTTCCTTCACATAAAAGGTAGGTTCACTTAATACTTGGATTAATTTTTTTAATAGAAACAATTTGTGTTAGTATTGATTCAATTAATGTATTAAGGATTGTTTTTTAAAAAAAGGATATACTTTGTCTTATTTGTCTTATTGAGTCTTTGCAACATTCATACGCATATCTGTTAGCTTTTATAATGTATTTTGTATATGTAAAGTATTGAACTTATGTTCTGTGAAGAATTACATTTGTTTTCTGTAAAAATTGTCATTTAACCTTTTCCCTTATATAAGCGTGTTTCGACGGCTTTTTGACCCCTCCCCCCCTTTTTGAGGCCTCAAACAGTGAAAACGAAAATGTCCTATTTAGACCCCAAACACTGTTTTTCGTTTGAGAAATGTTGTTGAAAAAAGTGACCATTTTTTCGGCGCCGTCCCCCATTCAAATAATACATCAGGGGGTTGCCCCCTTCTGTTTGGGGGGTTTGAAGGGGGGCGGAGTCCCCCTCATCGCCAAGAAAATTTTGGACTTGTGAGAGGCTTAAAATGACCCCAGGTTGATCATAAGGTAACGTGTAACCAACGCTGAAAAGCCTTTGACTCTATCTCAATCCCTTGAGAAGTTGCAGCACTTTGAAATAAATTTTGATGGAAAAAATCGAGGCAAAAAAGTGATTTTTGGCAATTTTGAGATGTCCCGTCGTTGCCATGGTTACAGGAAATTTAAGACTGAGCATGTCGTTACAAAGGCAATGGTCCAGTCAACATTTGTGCCAAGTTTGATTAGTATTGAAGCATTTTTCATAGTTTCATAGCAGTTTGAACTTGTAAGAGGAGGCTTTTCAGTGAAAATGGCCATTTTTCACAATATGCTCATGGGGGAAAGGGTTAATATAGTATTTATTTTTCTGCTACTTTTGTTGCTACAATTGTAACAAGAACATTTTGGTCATAATTTCTTGTCAAATAGTTTCTAAAGGAACGATTATTTAACAATTTTATACATTTAAACATAATCATATAATTTCTTTTGTGTCAACCAGTGAGCCTCTTGATGTGTCTGTTCTGGAACAATGTTACCTCTTTGCTGATCTATATAAAATGGATAAAGAACAAGGACATATAAACCCAAAGTTAGCACATGCCATTAAATTGTTTACAACAATTTTGTCGGGAGGAGCACATATACACCAGGTTTGTATTAGTTTTCTTTTGATATAAAAACGGGTAATTACGTTTTGATTTCTTTGTATATCAATCAATAACATTGACGGAAAGACATACCTTTGTTTTATATTTTTATTTATAGATAGTTGACGCCTATTCTGGAATGATAGAGTGTAGCCGAGAAAAGAGATGGATATCAACATGCGAAGGTCTTCAGTGGGATCTACTTCACATGTTTGTAGTTCTACAGTTTTGCTTTATTAACTGAACGACGCTTTTAAGTATATGATTGAGTTTATTCTTAAAAATAGACTAATTTTTCTTGTCAGTGGTATGTTTTTGAAAATTTAATTTAATTTTTTTAATTAAAAAATAAAAAGGGGTGGGTGACTTGTTTGAAACGCATGAATATATCTTTTATAATAGATTCATGACGGGAAAGATAGTTTATGTATATTTACATAAGTTTGTTTTTTGTGTGAGTTTTTTTTTCAATAAAATTAATTAACTCAGAAAACATGACATTATACAGATGTGCAAAAAGAAGTGAAGAACTTTCAACTTATGACAGAAATATATTGTGTGAGATATATGCAACCAGCTGCATTGAGTTCTTCTTGCATGCGAACCTGGAGAAGGCCAAGGTAGTTGGTATGTGAAGATGAAATAATATAAAGAATGTTTAATTCTTCTTAAAACAGTATGTTATGATTATAACCAGGGTTTTTGCTTTACACCATTATACTTTTACGATTTGTTCAGAGATTTTGTTTATTCAGCTCTTTGTTTTGAAAGAAAAATGTGGATTACTTTTCCTAATTGATTGAAATACTGTGTTTTTGCTTGTAGATCATTCAAAAGAAAACGAAATTTGATTCTAATAAGTTTTCCTACTTCATTTTGTCAAAGATCATCCATATTTACTCATATGTTAATATATGATGCTCTGTATTAAGAATTAACTTCTTGATATATGCTGTCATAATTTCTCTTTCGTGTTCTTCTTTCTCTAGGTAAAGCAGCTGCAGACATATGCGTGTGTATTCGAGATGTTCAAACAACGAATGTCTTCTGCCCTTTTTATTTCTACTTGTGCTTGTTCAGGAATGTGTAAGTTTGGATTCCCTCAGATTTTTCATTGTATGGTTACTATCAAAAAGAGATTTGATACTGAAAGCAATAACTTGGAATCACCAGTTTATCATTTGCTTGCGCTTTTTCATAAATATGTGCTCTAGTTGTTATGTTATTTTTTGTTCAACAAAAAGTTGTGGACGTGCAATAGAAAGAAAGAACGTCAATGTTTAATTCAAAAACCAATGTGAATGTATATGAAAATAATTAACCTTTAACGTGCTTAATATCTTAAATGCCCTATTCATCTTTCAATCTTTGGCATAAATATTTATCTTGATCTAAAATAGCCGCATGGGTATAATAATGTTTTGACGGCTTTTTGCCCGCCCCCCCCCCCCTTTTGAGGCCTCAAACAGTGAAAAAAAATGCTCTTTTTGGCCCCAAACACTGGTCTTCGTTTGAGAAATGTTGTTAAAAAAGAAATTTAAGTGATCATTTTTTCGGCGCTGCTGGCCAAGAAAATTTTGGACAGGCTAAAATGGCCTCAGGTCGATCTTAGGGTAACTAGTAACCAACGCTGAAAAGCCTTTTACTCTATCTCAATCCATTGAGAAGTTACAGCACTTTGAAATCAGTTTTGATTGAAAAAAAAACAATTCAAAATAGTGATTTTTCGCAATTTTGATAGGTCCCTCCGTTGCCATGGTAACAGAGAATTTACGATTGAGCATGCTGTTACAGAGGCTATGGTCTAGACAAGATTTGTGCAAAGTTTCATGAGTATTAAATTATTTTTCATAGTTTCATAGCAGTTTGAACTTGTAACAGGAGGCTTTTCAATTAAAAAGGCCATTTTTCACAATATGCTCGTGAAAGAAAGGGTTAAGGGATGAAAAGCTTATATCTAGTGATGATAAAATTGTTTTCACTTTCTAGTTACCATGAAAGCATTGGATTATTGGAGGTAATGAAAGGCAATGCTGTAAAACAGTCAGATAAACTTGACATTCGTGCATTGTACCAGGTTGCTTGCACTGAAATTGCTTTGGTCGGAGGTAAATTTCCCATAAGGTTTCTAAGATAACATGCTTTATTTATGTCCATCATTTTATATAAGGGGCAGGACGTGAAATGGTTGCGCATTTGGTTCAAGAGAGAAAAATTCAAGACAAAAACAAGACAAAGTATATAAGTTTGCAACCAAAATGCACTTGAATAAGATATTTTTGTGTATAAAATCTTTATTTGGAACATGAATATTAAAACATTTGCACAACTGACAGAAATATACTTTGTCTTGTTTGGTGAACTTTAAAACTTAAAGATGTGAGTAAATGAGTAGAAAATCCGACCAGAATTGTCACGTGTCTATTCGCCAAATATGTACTTGACCAGTTTATATCTTCAATAACTTCGACAAATCAGAAGCTATAAATCTGAAACTTAAAAGCATGTGTGTTACAAATATTGCCTTAAGGAATTGGCATATTGAAAAATTTCAAACTAACATACAAACCCACTTACCTGTAGGAAATATGTGTCGGTGTTTTGAATATTCATGACTCGGTAGCCATTTTGGCAAATCTGCAACGATTTTTTCCTCGCTTGAACCAAGTGTGCAACCACTTCACGTCCTGCCCCTTGAAATAGCAGTAGTTGTGTTTGTAAGATTTAAAAAAATTGTAATTGTAAACGTTTCGCTTTTTATTTTATAGTATCATAAGTTTTGTTTACAAGTATTTATATGTAAGACAGAAGAATCAAAGCCATTTAGGTATGTAAAAACATTTGTAATGTGTAACAAATCAAAATAATATTACATGTAATAGTCATATTATCAAGAGAAATATCACCGTCTATTATTACATGGCATGACTATAATAGTTTGGCATTCAAAGTTGAATAAAGCCTTAAACGTCTTTGAGAAAAAAGTTTTATTTACCTGTTGCAGTTATATGAACATGACAACTGGCATTCTATTTCAGGAACTCCACCAGAAAACGTTCAGACATGTATCTCGTGTCTAAAGAATTACCTGTATGTTGACAAGACAGTACAAAAATCTGCAGAAAAGTACTACATTGCTATGACAATTTCACTATGGTATTACTTCTATGTCTACCTTCTTAATCATTAAAAAGTGCAAATTTTGTCCACTCAATTGTTATGAAATAAATATTTTGGCATTTTTATAAACACATTCCTTTTATTAAAATTGACCATGTTAATCGTTATTACATCTATTATCCGACTGTATGTGTTACGTTTCAGTCTTTGCTTATCATGTGAAGCTTCTGTTTAGGTTTGCTCGATTTGAGAAATGGACGGAGTGTCAAGACTGGTTGGACAATGGTATTGTGTATGAAATGCGTGAATCTTCGTACTATATGTGTATGGGAAATGTCAATCGCTTGGAGTCTGTTCTAATAACGATGTCAATAAATGGAGAATTAAGAGGTTCTCATGTAAAGAACGCAAAGAAGGTAAGACAGAGTGCATAAATAATCGCTTATTTAAAGTCAAATATTAAGGTACAAATTCTGTCAATGTTTAGATTTCGGTATAGATTTTGAGATAGTAGAATAATTTAGAGAACAATAAAGATGCATCTAATATTAGTTGCAGAAATGCCTTACTGTATTTTTTTATTTCTTCAGATATTTAAATCATGTTGCAAACAAGTAGAAGATATACCAGTACTGAAACCAAGATTGCTCCACTTAAAGGCATACTTCAATATGGTGCTTGGGCGAAGGACTAAAGCCAGGAAATTGGCCAATAAGGCACTTAAACTGTGTAAAAATCAGGGAAATGTGTTTGAGGCAAGATGGCTACATTCTAATCTTAATACTTGGTTTGAAAGAGAAACTGATGGAAACAAAAACATCAATGAAAAATGGAAAGAACGCTCTGTAAGCTGTGGCGGACGTTGGAACCAAGAAAGTGTGACTCAGGAACCTACCATGTACCCCCTTCCAATTGTAAGGAGGTGAAACTTGAATTGGTGTCTGATCGGCATCAGGTAATAACTGCAATATGACCTCGCTCAGGTAGAGGTGCCTGTATGAACAGCTCTAAAGGTTTTCAGTTGAAATTTTGCATGTAACGTTTATTCAATCAGGTATCAAAATATTAGAAATGACTGGGCTTGCGCAATGTAAGGGGAAGTCTGTAAAAGTAAAAGTTCCCCGCCGGTCAATCAGACATTATTTGAAGATATTCTGAGATTAAATATTATGTAATGATCTTATTGGAATTTAGTTTCCAGGTATATTTCTAGTATTTGTTTGCATTTGTTTATGTTCAGACCTGCATTTTCTTATTCTTTATTTGTGTATTGTGCAAAGTTGCTGTTTCTGTAACACATGGTGGTTGTTCATCAAGAATTGTGTACCAATGTTATTATGTACTGGAATGCTGTATTTGAAGTATATTAACCATGATATCAATTAGATTTTCAAGGCAGCTATGAAAATGGTTTCTTCTGTAATGAATGATTGCTAAAATTGTATGTGTAGGTTGTGCAACAAAGCCGTCCAAGTAAATCAATATAATTTTAATAGTACCGCATATAAAGTAAAATGTGGTTTAAAACATAGTGATTGTACAATATCTTATGTTCATAATTTACATGTGCTACTGTATGTGATAATGTCTGAATGGGGTAATGTTGTAAATATGATTCAAATTAAATTAACCTGTCAAAAATTGTGAAAATGAAATTGATTGTTTATGTAAAAAGAATCCAGGTGTAATGTCACACAATTAAAAGAATGTTTTTAATCAAACTCAGTGTGAAAGAATGAGTCTTATTTTGCATTTTATATGTTAATATTTAATTACGCATAAGACGTTTTTGTTTATTTGCATACAAGTATGAACTCATACAAATAATAAATATAAAAGCCTATTGATAGTTTCTTAAAATCGATTTACGGACAGGGCGGACCGTGGGACAGGGCGGACGGGACCGTACCAGGTTGGACCGTATGTTTGGATGGGGCGGACCATATTTTGCGACAGGGCGGACTGTGACTCGAGACGAGGCGGACCGTGGTTTAAAGTAATAAAAATATTAAGTAATGTCTTTTCTTTTTTTTCTTTTATTATAGTTTTAAACATATACATATATTAATTCAGTTATTTGATTTAGAATAAATTTGTTTAATGAAATTATATAAAAAAAACAGTATCGAGTTTGACATTATGCAGGTGATAATTGACCAATTATTGGGATATTACATGTCATTGATGGGGGGGTAAAAGGCTTTATTCACGGTAACAATACGATACAGAAAGGCTTGTTGTTCACGTCTGAACATTTGAAACACAATACAAAACAATAGCGTAAAATGATGATGAGTGACATTACAAAAATGAACACAAAAGGTAAACAAAATTTACATCGTACACAGAAAAGGTGACTTATTTATTATTTTACAGATATACTAAAACATAATTACGAATTGACTTCTCAAGACATGTTAATTTATGTAAGAAATGGGTTTTTGTGATTTGTCTTAATTAAGATGCTGTTTGTTTAGCAAATTGATGTTATACGTGTATACATTTCTTAGTCTTTCTATAATAACGACTTAAGTAATATAAATAATCATTATTCCTCTAAACAGCTTAAGTGTTATAAATTGTTTATATAAAAAAATAAAATTAAAGTAATTGTGTCGAGTTTTTTTAATAACATCGCAAAAGGAAAATATATTTTACAGATGAAATTTGTTTTAATCCATTCCCACTATCTTACGCTACTTATCTTATTTTTATAATTGTATGGCTAAATGTTAATAATCTGTTAAATATGAAAATGCTTAAATATATGACATGTTTAGGACTAAATTGTTATCAAAAGATAAAAAAAGCAATGTTAAATTTGAAATTAAGCACGGTCCGCCTCGTCCCGAGTCACGGTCTGCCCTGTCCCAAAATATGGTCCGCCCCGTCCAAACATAAGGTCCGCCCTGCTTGTCTCACGGTCCGCCCTGTCCTACGACCCTTAAACTATAATACACTGTTCATCATTTCCCTACAATATGAAAATACTTAATCTCACAATGCATTTTTCACAAATTTAAATCAAAATGCTTTTTCAAAATAATGCTGAATTCATTTTTTTTGTACAACAATTTTGTTCATGAAAACATTCTTTTATACATTTTAAAACGTGAGATTTTACTTAGAACTGACATGCGTATCGTTTATTAAGTTATTATCAACACTTAAACAATAGTGTGTACGTTGTCATCGACAAACTGTAAATATTGTTTGAATGTTCTCATGAAATACAAAACGTCTAACACCAAATGCATTTTTAGAAAGCATCGGAAATGCCGCGGTCAGTAGGCTATGTAGCATAATTTAAATCGGCTCGATGAAAAATAATCACTAAAAACTTACCTCAGCCGAGCTATTTTGGCCGTGTACGTTGACTTTTGTGGTCACGTGACCAAAGCTGCTTACCCACGGTAAGTCAAGCAAACATGTAGAATGTAGAAAGTTGTAATCATTACATCAAACAGTCAGTAACATCTCAGAAATTTTAGATTGTAAAAAAAATGACAGTGCTGAGAATTATTAAAAGACTATTTGTGTATGTCTGGTATAGGTATGTGGCTTAACATCAAAAGTGTATCCTACAAAGAGGAGACACTATAAAAAAATTCATAAAATTAAACGTACATGTAATTATGACGTTGAAGCCAGGGCCGCATACGTTACTAGGAAGTCTAATAGGTGTCAAGTGCCGTGTGGCAGCTGTAAAAAGTTGTCCCGTACTTCACTTCAGTGTTGTTATATTTTCTGGTCCTTCGGGATCATTGATGCCAGCACTATTAAGTGTTGGGAATTTAGTACCGCTCAAGCCGGTGCTAGGGGGCGTTAGGGATGTTGCACTTATTTATTATCTCTCATGTACAGACTCAATCAAACCGAGTCTGCAATTCTTATGTAATTTTGTTGTGATAAATGCTTCCGAGGGATCACTTTGTTTCCAGAATTTTATAATTTGTTCTGTGTATTCAAATAAAATGATATCATGCATATTATTGCATGCCCACTCAACAGTGACGTATTAAATAATATCAGTAAAAAAATTTAGAAGTCCGTTGAGTATTTTGTATTTAAACGCTGTTGTGCCCTTGTAGTATTTCTTTCGAGAAATGGAAATAAACGTGAACGTTTTAACATTTTCCTATTTCAATGTTAAGAAGAAAGAAAAAAACAACAACAATATATATTTTGATAGGAGAAAAAAAACCCCAGAAAAACAAGAACTTAAAACTTGCGTACAACCTGACTTTAATTTTCACAGAATTTATTACTGTAAAACAAATGCAACGCAGTAATTACCACGTATATAGTATGCAGGAATACTCGTAACGTTGCAGGAGTTTTAAAGTCATACTGACAGCATTAACGAGGTAAAAATAAAATGCTTTTATGATAAAGCACAACCAAGAATCGATTGAAAGGTTAAGCGAGAATTAATTCCAAGACTTCCTAAAGCACGCTGAGCCTATAAGTATAGAATGTATGTATATAGGAGATATTGTCTACCTTCATTGATTGATCAAATTTAATTAGAGGAAAATATACAATATTGGAATTTGGTTTGTAATGACTTGTGTAATTTTTTGAAAGAGGACTAAAGAATAAAAGTTAGTGTTTGTCATGAAATTATGTTGAAATGGAAATATTTTATAACAATCAAATATGTCAGTACAGGCTTTTTAAATAGTTTATGTGAACTAGTTGAAGCTACATCATCGTGGAATGTGAATGTTTATATACCAACAAAGAATGTCTATGGCGGAAATTTCAACTATGGACTTGAAAAAGAACGACAATTGAAGTAATCGCGACGACACTGATAGCAGCGGATTAAATTGCGTTAGCGATGCTGAAAACAACAAAGCATGTTTGGACAAATGTACACAAAATAAGTCTTTCAAGGTACCACTGAAAAGAAGGCATTCTACGGGAGCATTTATCATGGAAACAGAATCAGACAGTTGTAAAAATGGAGAACAATTTATTCAAAATTATAGTAAGAAAATATACAAACTGAGCAGACAATTTTCTCACGAAAATTTTATACAAAATATAGAAGCTATAAAATGCAGTAGATTTTACAGCAGAAGAAATGCCCTGTGTGATCCGTTTAGAATGTTGATTCCACAGCAATTGCGTGAACAGTTGGAACATAATGTTGAACGGCGGAAAACGTCTGTAACAAGAAAAGTGGTTCAGTTTATTACAGTATCACTAGATCTGGATAGAGAAGAGGAACTTATTTAAATGTATTGAAAATAAGAGTCTTATTTAAACAATGCCTTGAAAACAAAGCGACGCAAAAAAATTGAGAATATGATAGCTTATTTAAGCAACGCGTTAAGAATTGGAGGAAATAACAGAAACGTATTTAAGCATGCAACGTATTTGAGAAGATTTTACTAAAGCAACATATTGGAAAAAATATCGAAGCAACATAGTCAAATAAAAGGAACTGATGGGTAGTATCTATTGATGATAAATAACATGATATTCGATAGACGGTTCCAGATTCTTGCGATAGATTATATATAAAAATCATTGAAAATAACATCTTTTATGGTTATTCTTTTTAACTAGGCATTGTTAAAATTCATTTGTAAACCTAATGATATACTTCTGTTAGAATGCATGTATTGACGGCTATTGCAACAGCATACTGTATGATATTTTGGGCCAAGACCAATTTCAGTTTATTTATTATCATTTCATGTATTCCTTGTGTGTCAAGAATGGGTACTTCCTTTAACAAGCGTATCATCAACAAAATGATAATAAATGAACAAATAGCAGGATGATACTATCATGCATGACCTGGCATACAAGAGTAAAACCATATCACTCTTGCAAAATAATCATAACAGTGAAGTGCATTTACATATGAAAGATAAAAAAAAAACTCCTAATCATGCAATAGGTTGCTTGAAAATTCACTATTGCTTTGCTGCATTTTTCATAGTTAATTTAATACAAATGAATGTTTATTTAATATGCCACACTTTTTTTCCTTTCATGTGTAGATATATTTTATCAACAAATGAAAGGAACACATTATAATTCTGCTCGCTCATATGGTTAGGATCAGCAGCGAGAGTGAACACTTAAGAACTTTAATGACGTTGCTTAATTAGTGTTAATCGATCACCGAACACATTAATTTTGTCATTACAATCGATTGCTATACTGATATAGCCTACGATTAACTTGATAAGTTTTGATAATTTGTCCAATCCCTTAAGCAATATTCAATTTAACTTTTTTATCATTGACATAATAAAGTCTTAATCAATGTCTTCGCAATAACAAAAAGGTCGTTTCTGAATAACAGCATATTGGTTTTAACGAAGAAGTGGTACATTGTTTGCTAAGAAAACACATATGCAAAGTAAATGTCTGCACACATAAGCTAAATATGCAAAGATGCAACGTAGATGTAAAATGGATTTAAAGTCCTACGATGCCGTTAAATTAGATGTAATTTGTGTGTGTTTGGGAGGGGTGGGGTGCAGCAAGCCATACAAAAGGTCTACACTTAACATTTTCGCATTACTTATTCCTAGCTGAGAATTAACAGCAGTTATTTTTCATAAATAGAAATTTGCAAATATTTTACATATAAGAGCTTGTAAAGATAAACTTATTTATTTCAAGAAGATAAATTTTCTTTAATATGTTCGTGGCAATGCTATTTACATTCTTACCTCGTTTGTGTTAGGAAACTATCCAGGCAGTGTTAAATTTCAAATCATTATCTAGCTACAGAAAGACGATTACCTATCTTACCTTACATGGCAGTAATTATTGCTCGACAAAAGTTTAACTGACTACACGTTGTTACTATGGTGA